CAATTATCAGAGTCTTATGTCGGGGTATAAACGTCTAGACACAACTCATGCTCTACATAACCTGGGTAGCACGCATTCTGAACTTCGGTTCTGTGATAATCCATACCATTAAGCAAGCTTGCCAGCGACTCAAACGCCATGCCCTCGTTTTTCACGAAGAAGAAAAACAAAGCCAGTCGCGGTGAGGAAGAAGAAAACGGTACCCAGCCCGAGCAATCACTAGATAAGTCTAAATCGAAGGAACAGAATGCTAACTTTGGGCCATCAGACGAACGCGCCTCTACTCCTCCGCCGACCTATGATAAATCCGGTCAAGGTACTAGTCATGATGCACCTCCCTCGTTTGATGTAGCGACATCATCAGCCCAAGGTTTATCACCAACGAACCACCTCACTTCACTGGTGGCCTCGTTTGCGAATCTCAAATTGGAGACGCAGAAGGATCCAGACGTGGATACTTGCATCGCTCATCTGCGTTTCATCCATGCTATTCAGAATCTTAAAGAAGAGATTGGATATCACGATGGCCTCTGGAATTTATGGGATTCTCGCGCCGGGCCGGTCAGCGCCCTCGAGGATGGTGAGTTGAATGAGGCCCAGATTGCAGACATTAAGACGAAACTATCCCATCTACGAGAGAAAAGATGGGCTCTGTATGTCGCGAGGGCCGTCGATCGTTATCAGCTGTGGTGGCAGGCCATCGCTGGGGACCGATTGATGGCAAAAGAAGTGCACAACAAGAACTCGCCCAGATGGGTCGAATTTCCAAATGGCACTACGGACTTTTCGTGGACAGAAGATCAGTTGCCTTCGTTAGGTCTGTTGCATTATAGTTCCCATTTTTGATCCTTTCTAATTTGCAGTGGCTGGTTCTAACACCTTGAGCAGACGTTTTGATGATTTGGCATACACACATGCTGAATCCGCGCTGCTATCTTGAAGATGCTATGCTCTGGGGTCTAAGAGAGCTATGGACCACCGGCATGCCGTGGGCCGTCCTCAACAAAGCTCTCGATCCTAAAATGGCTTACTCACCTTCGTCTGAGTGCAGAATGAACTGGGAAACGCTGACGGGTGTGAAATGGGAAAATGAACTCGGCCCTACGACAAAAATTGTGGACTGTCCAGCTTGCAAACAGCCAAACGACGTGGCCTGGACAACATGTAGCTTGCCTGAGACTTATAAAGGAGTCGCGTACGCACATCGCGCAATCATCTACTTCAGAAATAACGTGTTAATTGCTGACTCGATTTCTTAGCGATCCCGGTCTTACTGGGAATGGTTATGGCGACGGTGATTTTAAACAAACCTGCACCGACTGCGGAGTAGTCATCACCAAATCACTACTCTCTGTTGCTAAGCTGGTTCGGGATACTAACAATTATATTGAAAATGATATCACTATGCCCGGATCTGTCCTCCATCCAGAAAGCGGCATGCCTCCAAATCCCGACCAAATATCGGATGTCATTCTCCCTAACCACCTTGCTAAGCAGGCATTGGAATCTCAGCTGGATAACTTTATGAATAACTCAAGTGGGAATTTACCCAACATGCTAACCATAAAAGATCTATTCTCCAAAGTTCTTTCAACAGAACAGGGAGTATCGGGCATCCGAGATCCCAATGGTCACGTCGCTGAGTCTGCGAGCCCAAACAACGGGACTCGTCCACTACTAAAGAGGCCTGAAGCGGTACAGATTCGGAAAATGATGTCTAGATACTGGGAGAACCATTCTATTTTCGCTCTAGACCTTGTGGCAGCAGTCATGAGACAAGGAACATTTATTGAAAAGGCCGTCCGGGTATGTTAAACAAATTTTATTAGTAAGACTGAACCTCTGGTTAATACTTTCCACTAGCTGAATTGGCTGTTCTCTCCTGTCATCCGGCAGAGCATGGACCGATTTTGCCAAAAGTATCAAAGATTCCTCCTCATTATGCACGAAGACTCGATGCATTTATGTGTTCCAACTCTGGATGTCGACCTGGTTTGGCATACACATCAGCTGGCTCCACGAGCGTACTACAAATCTACTACGACTCACTCGGGGAAACTGGCACTCCGGAAAGCCAAGTTTGTTGATCACAACGACAAAGTAGAGGAGAGCACCCTATCTAGGTCATTCGAGAGGACTAGTGCTACATATCTTGCCAAGTTCGGAGAGGTGTACTCCGAGTGTGCGTGTGGATTTTGCGAAGGTATGCAGACGGTTTTATTGCTTGTGAACGAACCAGAAACGAAGGGGAAGAGGCTAAACTTGTACAGCCATCCATCACAAGAACAGCTTTCCAAACGGGCCCAGTATGTTTAGCGTCGGAAAGAACAAGGTGCAAAAAGGTACGTTACCATTCATCGATCTCGGTCAAGAACCGCTGATACTCATCAATTGTAGCCATATATGACTTTCAGAATGCTCAACCGCCCCCTCCCAGCGAGAGGACAGCCCACATATCCGCCCACAATGCAAGCGAGCAACCTCCCACAAGAGCCTATATCGGGGAGTATATTCGCAAAGCCTGGGAACTTAAACTGGACGAGTCATACGACAGGGCTGTCAAGCGCGCTGGCAAAAAGGGGCGCAAGCTACCATCGAAGGGCGAGTACTACAGTCACTGGGGCAGGAAATATTTCATATACGGCCCGCAGTCAGCACCAACATTCTTATCGGATAAACTGTACAGCGGATCAAGCCCTGCTTCCATGGTCAGCCCCGGGGCAGATCCAGCGTGGGCAACTTGTGCAATGGGCGCTTGCGGACAAAACGACATTGCCGCAGGTGGCTGTGGCGGGCCTGGTGGTTGTGTTCAGTGGGGTGTACGACTCTCTCCTTTCCTCCTTGTCAAAACAAGATGCAAGGCTAATCTGATGATAGAACCATGCTCTAGGGAATCATGGAATACTTACTGGTAAGAAATCGTTTTCAATTTTTGGGAACTTGTTGCTGACCTTGGCTGATGGTAGGTCTCGGCGTTGCGAGTGCTGCCGGTGCTGGCGGCTGTGGAGGAGGAGGCGGCGGTTGAAGAAGAGCTACTGGTGCTTACCTCATGTATTCGGTGGATTTTTTAACTAGGATATATTAATATATCTCCTTTTCTGCTGTTCTCACCTCTTATAATACGAAACCGGGAATAGCTAGTCGAGTAATCTTGTGGCTGCTCTCCTAGCAATGTGTCCGTCCCAACTTGCGATCCAACACCAACCAAAAAATTATTCCTTTCTTCTCCTCTTCCTTCATAGCACTAATAATACATTTCAAACTTAGGCTTGCATAGAATTTGACGAAAATAGGCATCTATGAGACGTAGCTTGCTTGCATTTTGATGTCTCTAAATCACAGATGAAGCATCCATTTAGAGTGCCATTCGGCCACGTCTGTTGTATTTGTGGTGCGTCGGATACAGTAATTTCAGCGTCTCCAAGTAACCTTCCAGCGTCCTTAAAATAATCTTGGTTTGATCTGTGCATTAATTTCAGACTGTCATCATAATTCGGGTTGTTTATAATTAAATGGGAATGATATCAACGGCATTCTGTTGTCAGATACTACCTTACATGTACCCTGGAAGTCAATTTGTGACCTCTCAGGGAGGATCATCTCGATGAGGGGCTGGAACCACCTTTGTGCAAAAACACCTCAACTGCTAATCCTTCAAGACCGCCATTCCACGATGCGCACTCACAATACGCTGACCACTGCAAATGGCATCACCTGGTACTATGAGCAGGAAGGGTCGGGCCCCGATATTGTCCTAGTGCCTGAGGGCTACGGCGATTGCCACATGTTCGACAAGCCAATTCAGCAGATTGCCTCTCAAGGATTCCGAGTCACCACCTTCGACATGCCCGGCCTGTCCCGTTCTTCCAAGGCACCGCCTTCGACGTATAAATATGTCACAGCTCAGAAACTAGCATCATATATCATTTCACTTCTAGACGCTCTCGAAATCAAGGAGGCAAGCTTCTGGGGGTCAAGCTCGGGCGGCTCGGCAGTTCTGGCCATCTTGGTCGATCACCCGGAACGGGTCAGGAGTGCGATGGTACACGAGGTTCCCACCTACCGCATGCCACGAATGACCATGCTGGCTTCACTGCCCGATGAAGACATTCGCGAGCTCCTTTCTGGCAGCATGAAAGCCGGCAAACTTGGCGACCCTGCCAAGTGGGCTGCTCTGGGGGATGAGTGCCACGCCCGACTTCGGTATAACTTCCCATTATGGGCTCGTGGCTACCCAGAGACGATCCCGTCCAGTTCGCCCGTTCATAATATAGAGGCTCTGAAGAAGAAACCCTTGTATTGGTCGATCGGGGCTGATACACCGAAAGAGACGTTCGCCGATAACGTCACCACCGCAACCAAGGTTGGCGCTACCTTGAAACAATTACCGGGCATGCACTATCCTTATATCACTCACCCCGAGGAGTTCGCAGAACATGTTATCCAGGCGACTCGGGAATCCATTTAAGAAAGGTTTGGTTTGTTGTAGTGGCCTGGTCGGGTCAGGCTCATATTGAGTTTCTCTTTCCAAGGAAATACGATCAAATAACATAAGGCTACGATAACTCAACATGTCCCTTGACGTGTTTATGGGAGGACTTCTGTCTCGAGCAAGCGCCTGCCAGAGTTGTTAGAGCAGAGAATTTCCGAAATAACACATGAGAGGAGTGGTGCCGTATTTCTCGTCAAAGTTTTCAACAACAAATCCCAGAAGAATGGGAAGGGTTGGCGGAGTGGAACATACAAGTCAAAGGGCAAAGACAAAGCTCGATTTCCTGTGAAAATTCAAGGAAGGGACTTTTTAAGTAATCTCATCAACTTCAACATATTAATTGAAATACGAATCGCCTATGAATGCAAAGACAATGGTCCAATCTCATCAACGAGACAAAAGTGGTTAGAAAGGAAAAAGGTGTCTGTCTGAGTAATCTTTGAAACTATACATTATTCCATCTCATCCACCGAGAATTCATGATGCGAATCCTCAAGAATCCCTCCGTTTATGAGCTCGTAGCAGTAGTGGCAGTGACAGCAGTGCTCAGAGTCAGGGTGACTGGAGCGCCATTGAGAGTAACCCACTGGATAGGAGGCTCGGCACCGACAACGTCAGATGTAACACTTCCTCCGGATGCCGTGACACTACCCTTGGGAATAGTAACCGGGATAGGGGTGGCGCAGGTGTTTCCGTCGGCAGTGACAATCACCTTCTGGAGGGTCTTTCCGTTATCGCTCCAAACGTAGCTCAACTTCGGGTTGCAAGCATCAAGGGTCATACGGTTGAGGAAGTATGTAGCCATTTGATCCTGAGTTTGACTGGTCATCGGCCAGTTGGTGAGACGAACCATCTCCTGGACAATGGTCTCAGTCCAGGCCATGATGAGAGACATACGACGAGTCTGGTCTCCAATAGTCCTAATGTCATTGCCAGTCGTGTACATATTCGCCTGGTGGAACATGTAAGGATCAGATTGAAGCGCGAGCAAGTTGCGGGTAGAAGAAGTCTTTTCGATGGCCAGTAGGGTGTTGAAGTCGCCACTTCCGGCAGACGTCTGGATCCACTCCCGAGTGGTGCAGTCAGGGGTATGGCAGTTGAAGTAAATGCGAGAGGCAAATCGGGGGATGATAGTAAGCCCGTCGTAACCATTAGTAGCATAAGTACTGATGAGAGGCCAGTAGACGCTGTTGGGGTTGCGGGTTGCGGGCCGAGTATTATCACCGACAACGTGCTTGATACCGTTGTCCATCAAAGCCTGGATGGAGTCTCCGTTGTTTAGACCAGTGATTGCAGGAGGGATAATACCATTGCCAGTGTACCTAGTGGCCTTATCGATTCCCATTTGCTTAAGCCAGGCCTGGTTGAACTGAATCTCACGCTTGGCATCGTGATATGTGGCGTTGTTCAAGCTCATGTGACTAAACGTGTGCGAAAGATGAGCAAAGTGGTTCAAATTGGCTGATTTAGTAAACCAAACGGCGAACTGGTCGATCTTGGCGCATGTCAACGACCAAGAATATGTCTCGTACTTGGTACCGGTGGGCCAAACATCATCACCAGTGCCGAGAGGCTTCCTCCACTCATTAGGGGCTTGAACATCTTGTTCCCAGTAAACGGCATCAACAGGATTACACTTGTTGGTGTTCATATCATCGTCTGTCAAGGTCGAGTTGATGATATCGCCATTGCCGTTATGCCCGAGTTCAAGCCAGAAGTCAGAACCAGTAGGTAGTCGAGCGTTGATGCTCGTTTGCCAGTCGACGTGAGCCTCGAGGTCTGTAACTCCAATCTTAACCTCGGGAATATTCTGGGGATAAAACATCTCGGTGGACAGTTGCAAATCGTCGACCTGGTCGTTCAAGTGAACCTTGCGTTTACCAACGAAGACACCACGAGTCATCCAGTGAATGTGTGCGTGTTGAAGCCAGTTGGTTGTCTGAGACCAGTCGGTAGCCCAGCTGATGAACCAGACAAACTGCTCACGACCGTTGAAGTTGTTGATGACAGCAGCGACACCACCCACCGTGCTGCCACTGTCAGGCGTGAACACAGCGACGGCTCTCGTAGTCGAACTATCGGTAATGGTAGCAGGAACATGGTAAAGACCGTCGGTTCCCACCTTGGCATTAACCTTGAGTTGGGCAGTGGGGAAGTCGCTGGTGTCGGAAAAGGAGATGTTTTGGGTGACGGGAGACGTGCAGCAGCCTCCGTCAGCACCTGGGGTGGTGCCGAAGGAGGCTCCAGGGTACTCATCAATACGGACCATACGGACATTGAAATTGAGCTGATAGTTGTTGAGAAGAGTCCATTGGTCGGTGGTGATAGCGCTTTGCCAGCCCGTAGTACCGCCATAGTCGTATGAAACGGAGCTCATAACAATAATACCTCCATAGTTGCCTGATGTAGAAGAGGAATTGAGCACCGGGAGGGTAGAGCCAGCTTGGGCGACGATGAAGCTCTGGAAAGGAATTCCGTAGGCGTTGAGACCATCGCTGGCCAATTTAGCAGTAGCGGCATCCTTGGCAAGAATGAGAACCGTACTATCAACGGTGGCGGAGGGTAAGGTTGAGCTGGTAGGAGTAGCGCTGGGTGTAGACGTGGAGCTAGGTGTCGAAACAGGAGCAGTGGAAGACGCAGAGCTTGAAGAAGTGCTGGAAGGAGTGCTTGAAGGCGTAGTACTAGAAGCCACCGAGGTACTCGAGGGCGTAGTGCTGGAAGCCACCGACGTGCTTGAGGGAGTAGTGCTGGAGGCCACCGACGTGCTGGAAGGAGTGGTGCTGGAAGCCACCGACGTGCTGGAAGGCGTTGTGCTGGAAGCCACCGAGGTACTCGAGGGTGTAGTGGTGGAAGCCACCGACGTGCTCGAGGGCGTAGTGCTGGAAGCCACCGACGCGTTTGAGGGAGTAGTGCTGGAAGCCACCGACGTGCTGGAAGGCGATGTGCTGGAAGCCACCGAGGTACTCGAGGGTGTAGTGCTGGAGGCCACGGAGGTGCTTGAAGGAGTGGTACTGGAGGCCACGGAGGTGCTTGAAGGCGTAGTACTAGATGAGACCGGAGTACTTGAAGAACCTGGAGCGCTTGAAGGAGTACCTGATGATGCAGTGCTTGAATCGACTGGAGTGCTAGAAGCAGTGCTTGAAGCGACCGGTGTAGTAGAAGAAGCAGCGCTTGAGGAGACTGGTGTGCTTGAAGCAGCGGTGCTTGAAGCGGCCGGAGTGCTTGACGAAACAGTGGTTGAAGCAACCTGTGTGCTTGAAGGAGTGTTGGTTGACGATGCAGGGGAGCTGGCTGGAGAAACAGGGTCGCTGCTGCTGGAAGCAGTCGAGCTCAAAGAGCCAGGGGTAGTGTTTGAAGCACCAGGCGTGCTGCTGCTGGATGCAGCCGAGCTTGGTGAAACAGCAGGCGTGGTTGAGTCGGCGCTGCTACCAGTGCTGCTTGAAGGAGTGCTCGAAGCAGAAGCGGGAGTGGTAGAGCTGGCCTGGCTGCTGCTCGCGTTCGAAGAGACCGGCGTGGTGGAAGAGATGGCAGCCCCGGTGCCGGAGGAGACAGGGGTGCTCAAGCTGGCCACAACGCTCGAGCTCGAAGAAGAAACCTGGGCGGCGGTAGAACTTACAACGGCAGCGCCCTTGACGACGCGGAGGCTATCAACATAGGCGACGGCGAAACCAGGGGCGTTGCAGTTGAGCGAGATCGTAAAAGTACCAGTAGTAGAGCTGGGAATCACTGTACCGCTCAACAGGCTCCAACTAGTGCTGGGCGTGCGGGTGAGGGGGAATCGATCAGTATTGGCGAAGTTGTTTCCATTAAAGTAGGCCCTCAGGCGGCAACTGTTATCGGGCTTTGCAGTGAGAATGAGGTAGTGGAATGAGATGGTGTAAGGCGAGTTGGCAACGAGGTTCTTGACAGATGCAGAAATGGAGGTGACGGTAAGATCACGCTTCTGAACAGGTGAGGCCTCGGTATTATCATCATCATTTCCATTCGTCGTCAGCTCGCAAGTACCATCCTTAGAGGAGCCGTCACCATCATAGCCATCATCACCAACCCAACTAACATTTCCGCTGGGGGTGTAGTACGCCAGGCCGAGCGAGAAGTTCGGGTTATCGATGTAATAGTCGGCAGCATCGGGTCCAGGTGTGCTGGTAGGAGTGGCAGAGGAAGCAGGAGTGTTGGTGGCCAAGGTGTTGCTCGGCCTCGGTTTACACTTGGCCTCGCCAACCGTCAACAGCCCGAAGGCGGCTACGGCAATGCTGAGATATCGCATCGAGTATATGTTCCCTCTTATAGTTTCGACCAAAACTCTAACGATGGATTAGGGGCCAGGGGGGAAGGTTAAATCAAATTGAGTTCAGGGAAATAAACAAGCACCAAGCCAGTAACAGATGGAAACGAGGGTTTGGAATAAACGAATGTAATCCCTCTCTGCTTCTTTGAACAGGGCCTTCTTCACGCAATGTGAAGATTGAGTAAACGAATGAACACGCACACCGACGTGAGGAAGAAAGGAAGAAAATCAAAGCAGGCAAAAGGACGAGGGCTCTTGGCAAAATATGAGGGAGTGGCGGGCCTGAACAGAAGACTTCTCCGAGCTATGGGATATGGGCACACCCCTACTACTAGTTTGCGCAGGCATGGCGTGTAGTGCAGTGTGATTAATCCAATGGTGGTTTTTTTTTCTTTTCTCCTCTTGTTAGGTAGGCAACATCCGTTGGTATCCCACCCACACAACTTTCGGTGGCATCTCAATAGTCTGAGCATTGAGGCCGCCCAACGGGTAATCGGCTAACATTCAGCCGGCGTCGTCATCAGGGGCAGCTCGAAAGAGACGGAATCAGCCACAAGTGCGAATCTAGAGCGCTCGTCAGCGGCAGCGCCAGTAGCGTGGGGATCGGTTGGCAACTTGGGATACGGTGGAAGAGTCTGGGTGTCCATGTGGCCGTTGTTCCTGGCTGTGTTCCTGGCTATTTTCATGGCACCGGTAGTCCGGCAAGCAGCCATCACGGTAGTTCGGCAAGCGGGGGATCTGAGGGGCATCTAACTAACTAAATCAAGGCTAGACAGGGGCAATAGTGCAGCCTCGATTCAGCCCAATATTGTTAGGCTGGTCCGTCGCCGTGCCTGGCAGGGCTAAGAGCCTAGGACGGGCCAGGCTCAGTCGGTGGACGAAGATCTGCTTTCTGAGGAGAATTGCGATCGCCAAGTGAAGAATTAGAGCCCGTAAGTGGGTGCGGTTGGCTGGCTGAGGGCATACTCCCCTCCCTTCGGCCGGGGCTGTTACACATAAAAGCTGGCACACCGCCGTGCAGAATGATATATCACCAAATAGTTTTGTGCTTACCCCCTATCCTCGATTCTCTGTCCTGTTGTCGTCGCAAAATGGCCCGGCCTGCCCTCGTATTCGTGGGAGACACGGCTCTCTCGTTGCAGTGCGCATAAGGACAGGGTAACAGGCTTGCAGGGTCTCGTAGCTCATCTCAATATCACAAGCAATACCACAACGCGTCATTTCAATAGCCATTCTATCAAATACTGTGCGTGAAAACGGTAAGCTATTGGCAAGCGGGACAATGATGCGACGTGCCATGACAAGCACCAACATCACATCACTCCAGTCATCACAACTGACCCAGTTTCAGGCTGAGCTGAGCTGAGCGTCCCTGATTTAGTTTAGTGGCAACATCGGGAAACCGGCTTTTAGCCTCTCCACAGTCTGGCGCCTCGTGTCTGCTATCAAATCTCCCTCGCGCTCTCAGCTTCTCTCACGTACGCGTCTAGCCAATAGAGGGTGGGACCCAGCATCCCAAGTTACAATAATAAAGAGTACATTCTAATAAGTGAGCGCGAAGAGAAAGAGAAAGTTTGGGGTAAAAAATCCAACATGTACTCGACAAAATAAAACCCATATGTTGATGGGTGCCAGAAATAACCAGCATCAAATCCTACGTCGTCAGGGGTAATTACAGTTTCAAACCGTAATTATGATTAGCAATGGCCTAAAAATTGCTAAATCACATAACCTTTATAGGGGCAGTCATCAACGCCGATCAAATCAAGATGTGTGAGGTGCCCACTGTTGAATAATTCCAAGTCGGGAATCGGTATCCTCCTCTGTAGTCCTAAACGCCCCCGATCATCGATATTCTGAAACCTTGTGTAGGGCAACCAAAGAGAAATCGGACTCAGAAAAAAAGGAAGGAAAAAAAAAGCGAGTTGCGTATACCGATTTCCGGACCTGATTTCAGCATTGGCTGGACTGCTCCAGAATGATGATTATCGGGTACATGACACTCGGTCCCTATGTCACGTGTTCATTTGTTCCACTCTTTCTCCAATGTGACCTACCCTAGACCTTCACTCACCTTTCCCAGCCTGTTCAGATAGTTTGATTTTTCAAACCTGCTGTAGGATCTATTCTCATTGTGTTTATAGTAATATCTAACCCTTTGACAGATATGTAGGCATGGGTTCTCGGATATGATTGTATTGCAAAACACAGTAGCTAGTAATAATCAGATTTAGGATGAGCAACTTGGCCAGATGATAGGACACTTCCACGGTGACCAATAAAGTGAGAACAATAATGGAAAGCATCACTCCATGCCCTGTTATGAAATAAAATATCCGTTTTGTGAATTTGAAACAACACGCCGATCATGCTTTTTGAACAGAATTAATTGGCATCTTTGACGTGTCTCTTGAGGAAGTATAGGGTTGGTGGAGAAAGAGATGAAAAACTCGAGTTTCAGGCGAAAGTTTGAAAATACTCATCGAAACCTCCGCGAACATCTTATGATTGAATAGTCTGGAGGGGATGATAAACGCCCATTAATAAAATTCATATAAAATAAGGGAATTATGTGCGCAGGATAGGAAGTTCTTCAAATTTGCGGCTGCAATCGGGCTTCACTGAACTATATTGCATACATGTCGGATGTAGTCTGCTTGAGCCGCCAGCTCATATCTGTGGTAGATAAAGAGGGGGTTATTGCCGGCCTTTTGGAAGTTGCCATGGCCAATATTTCCGTCGGTCTGGCGATCTAATGAGTCTGCTCTCTGCTACGTCCTCACTTCGTTCCCCACGGGTATTTCCCGCGCACTCTCGCCGATGCTCCACACACGCACAGATTCGCCGCCACCGTCCATCCGCCCAGCGAAAGCACATTGTTAAGGATGAGTAATAAATGGAATATGAATAATTTTAAGCAGGGTTAGGGCAGGTAGATGCTTGCATTGTTTGTATGAACGGTATCTACGACAGGAAAGTGATTTAATACATCCATCGAACCCTTGTCTTAGATTGGTCCCCCCCTTGAAGCCTGACAGTTCTTTGAATCAACCAGAACGACTTGACATCATCTAACTATCATGACTCCGCCAAAGGCTTTCGATTTCTCCGGTGATGTGGCTCTAGTAACTGGTGCAGGGTCACGGATGGATGGTGGGAACTCTCATCCCCCTCTTGCAGGACTTATTGAGCTGACTCTGAGAAGGGGAGATTGGCAACGGCCGTGCTGCCGCTATCCTTTTAGCTCGACAAGGAGCCAAGGTTGCTTTGGTCGATTTCAACGTTGACTGGGCCAAAGAGACCAAACGGATGATAGATGAAGAGGGCGGAGTGTCAGAAGTCATTCAGGCTGATGTCACAAATGAGGCCTCCTGTCAGAACGCTGTGAATAAGACAGTCGAGCTCTTTGGTGGACTTCAGATCCTTGTCAACATTGGTAAGTTGGCCTGATACCTAGCCATGATTGTACCTGCTTATTAAATCTTGACTTCATGGGCGATCTAACTTTGTTGGACAGTTGGTGTTGGCGGCGCTATGGGAGACGCGACTGAGATCAATATGGAAGCATGGGACAGAGATTTCCGCATCAATGTCACAAGTATGGTTCTCATGAGTCGATACGCAATTCCTGAGATGCGCAAAGCCGGGCGCGGTTCTATCGTGAACATGTCCTCCGTTAGTGGACGTAAGCCTCTCCCTTTTCAATATGACCCCAGTGCTTAGACAGAGCTGATTGAGAAACGTAGTACTCGGTGGCAACCCAAGTCTGCTTTATCCTACCACAAAGGGCGCCATCATTCAGATGACTCGCGCAATGGCAGCTCATCATGGACAGGAAAACATTCGAGTTAACTGTGTGGCGCCTGGCATGGTTTATACACCCATGACACGTGGGCGAGGCATGACAGACGAAATGAGGCAAGCCAGAATCAACCAAAACCTAATGAAGAAAGAAGGCACTGGTTGGGATGTTGGCTATGGTTCGTTTAATTTCTTTCTCTATTTGTTGAAGCGAGATCTGTTAACAGGTTTCCCAGCTATTCTATTTCTCTCCAGCAAAGAAGCAGGCTGGATCACTGGCTTAATCATGCCTGTTGATGGCGGTGTAAGTTGAACCTGGCCCGAGACCCTAAAACGATGAGGGGAGTGCTAACTGCTTAGTAGACTACGGCCGGTAAGGCTGATAGGCCCGCTTTGAAGGCGGATAGTTTGGCAGAGAAGAACACGGGTGTTTCGAACTAGACAAAGTAGATTATGGAAAAAAACCGAACATTCCCATATATTGTTCGTAGGCTATTGTTTGCACATACGCGTTGCATTTAATATGACAGCGATTGCAAAGGCCTTAGATTATTTCTCTATGTTAGAAGGACAGCTAAATCAATTCGGACATCCTCGCCGGGGTTGGTGAAGATGTTATGGCTGACCTTGATCCGAGAGTAGAGTAAGTTGTTGTGGTTGTTGTAAGGATTTTGAAAATACATATACCATATCGTGCTAGCGTTTCTACAGTGTCGTATTTTGATGTCACACATACGTCTACTCACATGATTAAGAATTTGAAGGATTTCGAGGGCATCGGATTTCCATACGTTGTAGTTCAGCAATCCAACCCGCTATATTCTTGAGCCTTGTTCTGCCACAGGCTAATGTACCATAGTCCAGCCTTCTGAATAGTGTGCACACCCACTCCGAACTTGTCTAATAATCATGATTCTACAATATGAGAACAGCCTGGAGGCTTAGAGTGAGGAAAGCCTTGTCGGCCATGGCGCGACTGCGACAACTAAAGTCAACGGAGCAGGGCCAAAGGCGAGTTGAACTTCTCCCTAATAATTGGGATGCCGGGGATAATTACCAAGTCTATTGGCGGAAACTTCTGGCCCAGATGCGTAATACGGGAGGAGACCGCGGCCTTTCGCCGATTATCCACCAGCACTCTCCCCACAGCAGCTCTAGCATAGATCCATGTGAATAGAGAGGTCCCTTGTCGGAGAGGTCTTCCCCCAATGGCTTTGATACATCAGTTGCACATTGGAGAACTGATCTCTAACATAAGAGGCAGTTACCTTGAGATGTCAAAGACAAGAGACATTAGAGAAACAAATCTATGGAAGTCACACCAACGTCTTGAAACCCGCTCTACGTCTATAAGCTGTAGTTCAGGCGGTCCCCGAAGAATCCGCCAGACGAATGTAGTAAAAATTCTTCGATGTTGAAGCAACACCAGCCTTACCCTAGCCGTGAACTTGAATTAACTCATGATGCTCCTGTCTCTATCTCCATACTTAGCATGATGGATCGTAAACACGCGGAGCCCCGCGGGGAGTGATTTGCATGCGGGGTATGGAAATGATGATCGTTGTAATGAACCCGCTCCACAAGAGTTCTTGATAGGCATGCTTCGACCGAATTAAGTAGGCTCTTATGTTTCTACCTATCGGACATAAGCCGCGCTCAATTCCCGCCTGTACGACGTGGGATTGTATTTCGCGTAAAATATTCTATATCAGCGTGCTGGACTTTAGAATATGGCTTTACCCCTCCTCTGAACTCGCTATTCCAAAGTGTGAGCTAAACTATTCCCCACGCCTCATAACATTAACATTGATCTCATCATGCCCTTAATTCAAACCCGAAATTCCGGTGGCTCTGTCCACCACTTGTTGAGTGGCTCTTATACAAACCATACCTTGTTCTTGCTTGCGTTTGATACGGTGGCCAAGACTCTCACTTTGAATAACACTGTTCCCGGGTTCGGTCTTCACCAGTATGTAACAACGAATGCTGCACGAAACCGCATTTACGCGACAGCTATGAGCGAGCCGCCTCAGCTATTTTCATGGTCTGTCGACGAGAATTACCAGTTTGAGCACCTGAACACGGTGAATGTCAGTACGTAACCAGACCCAACTTCGTCAGTCTGCTTCCTGCAAATGGCCTAACGATTCCAGCCTCGTCATCATGCTACTTCTCGGGTCAAGGACAGTACGCCTTTAGTGCCGGTGGCCCTACAGCTCGTATCCATAAACTCGATGAAGATGGAAGCATTGCCGACCAGGTCTATGAGATGCTCTACGTTCCAGAACAAGAAGTGCCAAACGTCGACAAGACGCGGAACAGCGTGGTGAGCTCACGAAACATGCTGCATACAACGTCCATGCTCTAATCTTAACCCCACGACAGCTCTACGGCGCTCACGGATTTGATGTGAATGTCAACAAAAAGGGCTTTGTCCCTCATCTGTATGTCTCTTCATCATAGTTCACTGACATCCGATTAATCAATTTTAGTGCATTTAACTCCATCTTTATGTACGATATTGCTGATAATGGCACGGCAAAGCTTGACTCCATTAATCTCAGTCCTACTGAGGGCGATGGGCCCCGAAACTCATTCCCCAGCAAAGACGGCAAGCTCCTTTATGTTGTAAGTATCTTACGTGTACGGCCAAGGAAATATCATGCTGATGAATAATATACGAAGATCACCGAGCATAGTGAGTTTGATTCCACCAAACCAATTACCGTCATGATACTGACTCTGGTGGCTAGCTCAATGGCTTGACGTGTATGAGATTCAAAAGAACCGATTGAACCATGTCCAGCGTGGTAGCGCCATACCCTTTGGTAGGTCAAATATTTGGCAACCAAGGCTCCCCATTCTTTGAACAACCATTGACGTCTGAACTCTAGACATGCGGGGAAAGTTCACCTACCGAAGCAACACGGTGCAGCCATCTCGTGATGGCCAGTATCTGTTTACTAGCACCCGCGGTTGGAACAACACCGAAGCTAATGGATGGGTTGCGGCCTTTCAGTTGGATAAAAAAGGGTACCTGAAGAAAGAACAGGCTTTAACTTACTACAAGGCACCGCTTACCCTCGGGTCCGCCGCGGGACTCAGAGTTGCTTTCTGGGAAGATGATACAAACTCGAACCCCAAGGGACTGACCGATTACATGTACCTCAGTGACACATCCAAGGGGTATATGTACATTCTCGGCTGGACCCCGTCAAGTAAAACCATTTCGGAGGTGGCCTCGTTGCAATACCCTGAAAACTCAAGCCCGTATGAGGCTGTTTGGTTGGACTAGACTCTTACATGTATCCACGTCTTCCTGTTGAGTAGTACTAACTTAGGGCTCCTAAATGGATTTTAGTCTATAAAGATAGGAACCTAAGAATTAGATTCTTCTAGATCAAGCAAACTAAATTGATAAACCTTGTGCCTTAATTTTGAGTAACAGGTTTGACCTAGATGGATATACAGGCCATACTGGTCAGGCCTTGTGTATAGTGTAAAGTATAAAGTCGATAGTTACCAACCATGATTAGTATCGATATGCCTTCAACCCTCCAGGAGATCGAGAAAAGGAAAAAGTTAGTCAAACGGCTTTCACTCCCCCCAATCTATCTTTGGGGTACCTGAATTGATCAAGGGTTTGAAGAAACATGGGGCGCATCAAAACAACCTGAAAATATCCTGGACTTACATGTGGTCACTACCTTACCTCCTTTTCGTGAATTCTTTGCTATCTAGACCTTCCTTAAACTCAATGGGCTGCCGTGGGATTTTTCTTATTGTATCCGATAGAGGAAAAGTCTTTTTCTTCATTTATTGTCTCTATAAAGGCTAGCATACTTGCGTTAGGTGCAATGCCGTCATTGGAGCTGGTTGATCATGTCTTTAGCCATTTGCTCAGTAGAAGAGTTGTTGTACGTTGTGGTCATAGGTAGTTAAACTCTAAAGCCTCCCTGCGCTGGCCAAGGGAATCGCATGTTCTCAATCCTTATATCCCTTGACCAAATCGGCAACATCAGTGGAGTTACCAATATTGGAAAAGGACTCGTAGGCTTTCGTAGCGCGGTCCTTGCCGATTACTCTGCCAACCTGGTCTAGGAACTTCTCCTTCAACTGCTCCGTGGTTAGTGGGTTCTCATAGCTACCCAATGCATGCTCCACGTGAACTTCTAACTTTGTACCGTCTTCAAACTCGACAGCAACAAATGACTCATGTTCTTCAACGGCGTCATCGCTTGTCACTTCAACTTTTTCACGCAGCGCCACCACAGTAGAGTTCTGGACAGCTTCATCTGTGAACTGAGTTGGGGTTGCCTGGCCGAAGAGCAAGGAGACGGCAGCCGCATGGTACACGCTGAACTTCCCCGCTAGCCCGGTCGTCGGTTCCGGGTCGTCTGTGAGGAACAGGACCCGAGGATGACAGCGCGCTGTTACGTTGGTGATCTTAGTGACGTCTAGCTGCTTTTGAACTGCCTGGTCATGGATTTGGATCCAGCCATCGATGGCGGCATGCATGATACGATCGCAAGGGAAAGGTTTGAAGGTGTTTAGGGAGATTTCCCAGACGCTTCCCAGAGTGTCGATTTCTGCTGTCAGATTCTCCCTTGTACTGACAACATGAGACCATCCTCGCTCTGCTTCGAGACCTTCTAACGAGCCAGTAAGACCAGCCTTGGCCAATACTGCTGACATCAGGCCTGTCTGGGCCGCTCGACCTACGTGAAATGGCTTCGTCTCTGTACCGAAGGATTCGTGCATACCAATCACTTGCACAGAGGCGATGCTGATGGCCTGCTGGAGTTGTGCCACATCGAGGTCGAGAATTTTACCTACCGCGACAGCAGCTCCAACAGTACCCACAGTGCTGGTAATGTCTAAGGTAAAAGTGAGCAAGTTGCCTAGAAAGTCTTTGAAAGCGGGGGATGTACTCACGCCAACCGACGTTGTAATGCTCGGGAAAGACAGCCACACCGATCTTACATTCGGCCTCGACGCCAGCCACGAAGGCAGCTAGGAATTCTTCTCCATTTATTGAACCCTTCCACTCTGCAACGGCTAGCAGAGCTGACATGACAGGGCCAGATGGATGGATCGGGTTGTCTCTGTGCGTGTCATCATAGTCGTCTGCGTGGGATGCAATTCCATTTATGAAAGCCGCCGTTTGCGCATCCACAGACAGGTCCGTTCCCAGGATAGTCGAGTTTCCTTGAGGAACCACGAATGGCAAAATTGCGTCCATTGCGTGAACTGAGGCCGGCTGCTCATAGCCAGCAATGGCACACCCAGCCCAGTTAGAGATGCTGTTGACGGCTATCTCAATAACAGGTGCAGTGAGATTGCTGAATTGGAGGGCTAATGCCCAGGTTGCTAACGCTTTGGTGGCCATGATTATAAAAAAGGTGTTTTTTTCTTTTGTTTTGTTTGATCTGTTGAGGCCTTTTGAGAGACTGGGAGAAGGATGATGGCCTTTTATAGACATCACCCATGTCATGGAGCATACGACTCCATCAAGGAACCTTTATATAAAAACAACATTCAGTTCGAATAGATGGCCATATGCCTCTGGTTACTGTCACTCAAGCAAGATACCCCTGTCACAGATCAACGCCCTTTCACCTGCACAGCTAGTTCAATATGGAGCCCCGTTGCAAAACCCCATGGAGACGACGACAATGGTGATATTAAGCGGGGAAGCTCAGTAAATCTTAGTGGTGCATGTAGGATCTTCCTGTTTTCTATCAATTAGTTGTAGATCTCGGCCAAAACCCGCCTGAATGCTGCTTGAGAGTCAATTCGGATATTTGCCACGGCAATCCCCCTCGGATAGCGTTTCAAATATTCCTAGAACACTCTTCCATTTGGGATATTGTAGATGATTTTACGTTTCATTGTGTAGTTTTACTAGCTCTTATAAGTTCTATCAATTGAACCTCATCAATTCTCCTCGCTAATTGAGTCATATTCATTGCCAGGTGCGGAAGTCTGCGAACACCCGGCAGCGTTCTATACCTGGTGCTTTTAGGACAAACTGGGTAAAGTAGTGTCTGTTGAGTTCTCTGTGCTAGCTGAGGTAGATGAATACAAAATCAAATGTGACAAGCAACAGCAGTCTCATCGTTCCGTAAGAGAACGGTGTGTGAGATGACCATTCTCGGGGGCAGGACATGCTTAAACATTTACGGATGCAGAGCAATGGGATGCAAAAGAGTTGTCATATATGTAGTTGCTGTTTCTATGATGCTCTGCCTCTGATCAAAATACCTAGTAGGCTATGGAATCCCGCTTCACCATTGGTAGTAACGATCCGAGCAAAGAAAGAGAACCAACCACAAGAGTGCTAGCCGCAACCAGCTTTCAGTCAACAACCTCAAAAGATGGAAGAAACCTTGCATATTATCATGCAAAACCATAAATTGGTATCTCTGCGGAGCTAGAGCACGTAGCGGAAGTCCTTATTTTCGAACTCGGTCATGTCTCTCATTCCACATTCGTCACTAGCTGCCTTGTCTGCTTCACCATACTTTCGATCCCGTCGCTTGTTAACTGTGAACATGTAGACTATACGACACCAGGTTAGTTTAGGCAAGCCGGTTTCATATATTGGTAGCAGAAATACCTAGAAGAAGGAGGTGGCAAACAAATTTGATACTATATCCCACCAACAGTCCGATAGTAGCTCCCGTAAAATGAGGTGCTTGAGCCGGGTCAACAACAAATGGGCCGGCAAAATTGCCCCAGCAGTATGCGGTACTAACAATGAACTTGGTTAGATTCCTCTCATCGTAGACCTATATAAAGGACACTCACAAAACCACAGCGCTAGCGAGGGAGCGATGGGTATAGCCGGCCATGTTAGATGAGATGGTTGTAAGTGATACAGTAAATCCCACGGATTGAGAGTTGACGAGCCAGAAGCATACAAGTCGGCCCCAAGTATTGGAAGAGGGCAGGAATGCCATACAGCCTGCAGAGACTGTACATAGAATATTGGCGATAGAAGCGGTGATCAAACGTGCTGGAAGGCTTAGGTTAGTTTATCTCCTTGAGCACAGACAGTCAGTATGGGTTTATTTACAGTTAGGGACATTTAAAATAATAGTCCCTCCGATGATCAATGCGACGATTTGTACGGCGTCGCCAACTGACTTGAGCTGCGTAGTCATGGTGGTGTCGAACCCCATATCACGGATGATGACAGTGGAGAAAGAATTGACAACTCCGTTAGGTATAGCCGCGGCAAATACACTCGTGAAGAGAAGAAGAGTTTTAGGATCAAGAAATCCCCTCACAACTTGTTTCTTGTCGAATGACTTGTTCTTGATACCTGTTTCGTTTCCAGAAACACGTTTGACAGCGATAAGACGCTCACGGTGGCTTAGAAACCTCGCGTTGGAAGGCGAGTCGGGGAGGAGGACCCATATAACAAATGCCCACAGACAGGTGACGCCACCAAGCTGTTTTTAGACAACGCCTTTATCAGTAAAATTCGCCTCTAAGGAAATGGCACAGAGCGTACAATGTAGAAGATGAGCTCCCAGCGTTCGGGCTTCATATCGACTGGCAACCGAGAAACACCCATGGAGATGTAGGAGCCAACCTAGTGAGTGTTTGTTAATGCGTGACCACACAGCAGCAGCTTTAACGTAGTGATTTGACTCACAATACCACCCCAACCAAGAGAAGAACTTTTCACGAAAATTAGTAAAATACACGTATTCAGCAGTTGGGGGTGAGCACTCACTACCAAATACACTGGCGGAGTGGGATTTCACGTCGAGTGTACCAGAATCCAGTCATAAGCGTCAGGCCTCTGTAAGCATGGTTGGTAAGTTGTAACTCAGATCTTAGGGAGGGGTTCTCACGGTGTTACTGCTGCCTCAAAAATACCCATGAAGACTACATTGTTCAAATTAGATATGAATCTTCTCCAGGATTAGATAGTTGCGACGACATACATCTAACGACCACTACTTGGATGTTAGCTTTGCAGTTGTAGATGAGTGTTCATTTGGTGTCGAACCTACATGCAGTAGAATATGTTCGGCTCTGAGTCATGATGATGACCATTAAACCCCAAAGAAAGATGCTGATCGCCATCACCTTCTGCGCAGGGTAGCGTCCAATGAGCCAACCACAAGGGTACTGCCCAAAGAAGTATCCGGCATACACCACTATGTGTGTTAGCTCATCAGTCATGAAACTGGTACATATGGATGAAAGATTGGGAGTGGGTACGTACTTGCGGAGAGATAGTTGAACTCTTTACCTTGAAGACCAAGAGCCTTCTGATATCCGAACAAGTTCGCGTAGTTGAGCGATGTCTTATCCATGAACTGCAATGCTTGTGTGATGAGAAACATGGGGAGAATTGTCAAATCGATCTTCCATCGGACTCTGCGCATCTATGATCGAGACAGTTAGCCCGATACAAGAAGAAATGTTACAGACAAACACACCTCCTTATCAGACACCTCGATGTTCAATGCCTCGCGATATTCTTTGTATCCCACAGCATTTTCTTGGTGAGAAAATCCATTAACATCGCCCTTGGCAGCGACAGTGTCTTCTGTCATAACTTGGGCTGGTTTCTCGACGTCTGCCATAGTGCTGAGCTGTCTTGGCTGGAGCAATACAGGGGGTGTTGGGAGGGAGAATTCCACGGACGTCCGACTGTTCTCGAGAAAGGATAGACACTGAAGGTACAGATGGAAATCCTTGAGTCCTCACATGATTTCTTTTGAATCTTTCTGAAGGGCACGCTGCAAGTTTTAGGAACTGCAATTCATGCATGGGTTGACGTGTGGGGACCCCGCAAATTCAACTAGCTCCTGCCGATGAGATTATGGTGTGTTCCAACGGGTTGGGACAAGGTCATCTTCCGCGGAGACTTGCCGCGGCAAAAGTGCGCGCTCGACATTTGGCGTACTCGCCAACGGAACCTCGCCTTTGCCCGAGCTGTTTCCGGGACACCAGAACATGGACACAACATCCACACAACTGTAGACCTTTAAGCCTGAACGTCGTGATTTCGCCCCAAATCCTCTAATTTACTTTCAACTTGGTTCCTTGAGAAGACCAACAGACTTTCTAACTCCAAAGATCACGATGGGACAAACTTCTTCGCTCTTCAAGAAATCCAAAGAGAAGATAGTCGTGGAACGCAAGTCGACGACGGACACCAGCGACTCTTATCTAGCTAAACCTAGCGGTCCTTGCTGCTTGAAGGGCACCATTCACAAAGGCGAGGCGCGCGGAAGATGGGAGACCATCGCTAGTGTCGAGACATATATTTCAGAGCCCCCTCAAGGCAAAGCAAATGGCCACGTGCTTTTATACTTCCCTGACGTTTGGGGAATGTTCCCGAATGGATTCCTCGTCATGGATGCTTTTGCCGATGCAGGCTATCTTGTTCTAGGCCTGGACTACTTCTGCGGTGTTGGTATTTCTACCCCCAATATACTCTTTACGTGCTGACGTGGTACTAGGACCCGGTCTGGAAGCATCGCAAGAACAGGCATGATAACAGTAACCCAGACTTCGACTATGAGGCCTGGAAGATCAAGCACACCACGTTTGCTGATAAAGCTGTGCCAACGTGGGTACAAGTAGTCAAAGAACGGCATGGTGGTGGCAATACCAAATTTGCCTGCGTTGGATACTGTTTCGGTGCCCCTTACGTATGTAATGAACTTGCAAAAGATACAGTTACGGTTGGCGCGTTTGCCCACCCTGCTTTTCTCAAGGAGCATCATTTTGAGAATATTCAAAGCAAGTCATCCCCTAAAACGCTGAAATTGGCTCATTATTAACCAGTCGTGTGGTCCAGAACCGCTCTTATTGTCATGCTCGGAGATTGATCATACATTTGACAGCCCATCAAGGCGTAAAGCACTCCACATTCTCCAGGAAAGGAAAAAAACATTCAACTATCAGCTCTTTTCTGGCGTCGAGCATGGTTTTGCTCTACGCGGGGATCCGGATGATCCCTACCAGCGCACGTGTGCACCCAACCTATCTCGAATGTTCGTTGTCGCTAATGCATCTCTGCAGGATGGGTAAAGGAAGAAAGCTTTTCGAGCATCGTATCATGGTTTGACTTCTGGTTGTCTCAGTAGACCTGGTCCCCACAGAGTACCTATAAGACTTCAGGGTGATAGCACAATGATAAGATCTTGTAAATTCGCTTTTCACGGCCATACGATCTGATGAATTCTTAAGAAGCACGAGATACAAGATTAAAGAAGAAAGTCAATAGATAACGCTTTGGTCAAAAGATTGCTTGAAAAATCAAGAATAAGTCTCAACAGCCATCCTTTACGATAGCAAAGTGACTCAGAGGGAGCTTAGGCTCAGCTTCCAAGAAAGCTGACCCTGAAGGAATCGATGAAGGGTAACAGGGCAGACGATGAAATTGTAACGCGGAAAGTTGTATGCGTATAGGTTACTGCATTGAGTGGAATTGTAATTGACAGTCTAGATTGATACATTAGGTTTTCTTTTAACAAGTGTTTCTAGTAATCAAATTTTGCTCAGTCTCTATTTTGCATCGCCTGTCGGGTAATCAATCCTCTTGTCATCAATCCTCTTGTGCAATGCTGCGATCGGAGCCGCTAGAGGACTTGAGTTCAATCTAATAGCTAATCTTGACATTTAATAACAATAGAAGAAGAAGAAGAAACCGGCCTCGAAGACTTTGCTAGCCCCTCAATTCAAGGAAATTGACTCTGGTGTAGTGTGGTTTCTCTCTCCCACTGGCAACTGACTGTCAGATTTTGCTTTCAGGACGGTGAAGGATATGCACGAACCATCTAGAGCCACCAGAAATCGGCTAACGCAATTGTAGCTTGATACCTGTGTTTGGTTAGTTAGAGATTTTGATATCTGGCGTGATGAGGATATATGCAACTCACAACGGACACAGTCTCAACCAAGTCCCTATCTGACATTAGACCCTTGATCCATTCCATAGTCTCATCTTTGACGTGGACATTTCTGGTCATCTCATCGGTCAACACAACGACAGCCCATTGCTTTTCAGTAAAACAATTTGGACGCCCACTTCTCTGTGAGAGTGTGTCAGACTTGAGGGCGTCCATGGCCTCTCTAGGGACGCCGGCCTTGATAGCCAAGGGCGCGTGGTGCATCCACTCGTACCAAGCACGATTGAGGACGGCAACACGTGAAATTGCAAGCTCACGAATGTCATCGGATATCAATGTCTTGGAGCGGATGTTGCCAATGAACAAATTCCAACCATCCGCAACCGGGGGAGAATGTAGCAGAGTGAGGTCAAGAGGCTGCAAAGGGCGCGGGTTGCGGCGTTGCTCAATGCGAGCAGCGACTTGCTGGACCTCTGCGTCCGCCTCGAATGATGATGGAGATACGTATGGCAATCTCATTTCGGGATAGGAAAGTTGGCTGTGGATATAGAGTAGAATAGGAGAGGCTCAAGCCTGGATTATCTTGACTTGGCAAACCAATGAGGCGTGGAATATCTACTTGTGCAGCTGCAGCCACAGTTCATATTCACCATTGGCAACAATACTGTGTCTCTCCAAGGGCAAGACTGATGCCAGCATGGCACGGTGCCATTTAGCCAACCTCGGTGCCGATCCCAGCACATTTCACGACCCTCCTTTTCTGAATTCGGCATGGCTTTCGGATTTTGGCCGCGGCAACTGGCCGAAAGGTGGAGTCATGAACATGGAGTGTGTAGTATCGACGTAACGGCGAGTGAGTGCTACTAGAAAACGGAGACAAGAACTAACTCCTCTAGTCCTTAAGGGAAACCCTCTTGCAGCATGACTCGGTAAGTGGAATTGGTTCATAGCACACAGGCCAGGTTCTTGCTTATTGAGTTCGTTTATGCCAACAATTCCCCGCCTCCCTGCACCCCATATTATTGATACTCGGTCGTGACGTGCCGGGTCCTGGACCAATGGGTAACATGAATTCTTCCCCTCGCAAGCGGAGACGGTCGTTGATGGCCTCCGCATCTAGCAGAACACGGGGATTCCCCAACCCGTCCTTCCAAGGTGGTGGTTCTGCTAGCCCCCAACGAGATTTCCCTTCGCACTCAGTCTGTCCACTGGCCGGCTTTTCGCCATTTCCATCCACGACGAACCAACTTGCTATCAAACGATGGATAACCAACCGAACACGGATCCGTTGTCGCCGAGGCGGCCAAGAACAACTACGGGTAAAGCCTCAAGACCCAACGCGAGGCGCAGGTTTAGGGGTCTGACATGTGCAAACTGCCGCACAAGAAAGGTAGGTGGGCAGAGGAACCACGGCACCACTCGCGATAACTTAATGAATTTTGGCTGACGCTGGCTTGGCCTGTCAAGGTTCGTTGTGAAGGGAGCCAGCCAACCTGCAAAACATGCCAGGCCTACGGCGACGAGTGCCGCTACGACAAAGCTCCGCCGCTCTCTCAGCTCCTTGCCATGGCCCAGCGACTCCAAGAGGCCGAAAAGAAGCTGGCAGAGATGCGCTCCGGCAGGGAATCAACCCCGGCATCCGAAAGCGGCGGCGGCGCGAACACAGACCAAGGGTTCCAGTCGGTCATACTTCCAGGGACGGTCGAACATCTGAGTCCGACTCGCCCGCCCGCAACAAACTCAACGCATCATCCCTCCCCTTTGGACACGGGCGCTGGCAACACGGCTTTGCAGTCTTGCAACGGTATTTCAAGCCACATGAAGCCAACACCAGCAGCCCGCGATGCCCGGACCATGCCCCAAGACTCAACATTGACAGACGTCAGTGTCGACGAGCACGGCGAGATTTGCTACTACGGCCCAACCTCTGCCGTCCACGACCCGCCGCAACTAGACTCGCCACTGTCGCTGGCCACATCGGCTACAAATGCGAGCGTGACTTCCAAGGCCGACGCGCGATCTGCCGTGGCCGCGTTTGCCAGGGAATCTGCAACTTGGGAGGACTTCGCTTTGGGAAATGCTTCGCTGGAGACCGGCATCCCTCGTTCGGTGCTGGCAAAACTACTCCATGTACACTGGGCCTGGGTCTCTCCCATGTTTACTTGGGTATACCGGCCGGCATTTGTGAGTAAGTGGTCGATCTCGAGAAGACGGCAGAGGCTTAAGGAAGCGAGATATTGTCTGCGTAGTTGGCTAACGATGCGTATCCGTGGGCAGGAGATATGGCCACTGGAGGGCGTTATTATTCCGAGTTCCTCCTTACCGTCATCTGCTCACACGCTGCTAAATATCAGGATAGCGAATACGCCGACATGCTGCTTGCCCGGGCTCGTCGCCTCCTGGGCAACGCAATTCAGGAGCCGAGCTCGATTCCCACTGTGCAGGCCCTCCTGCAGCTAAGTGCCAGAGACCTTGCACAAGGATCCATTTCCAGAGCGTGGGTGTATAGCGGCATCGCCTTTCGCATGGCAAGCGACTTGGGGCTTCAACATAGCGGGCCGGACCTCAGAGGCATGGGAGCAATTGATCTCGAGGTTCGGCGCAGGCTCTTCTGGAGTTGTTATTTTTGGGACAAGTCAGTATCTGCCATTCTTGCTTGAACGTTGTTCTGTCCACGCTGACCACCATCGCCAGAGCTACCAGTTTGTATGCCGGTCGGTTGCCTGCTGTCACTGAAGTGCTCCATCCAGACACCCTCGACCTCCGTACGTGCCGTTCTCCCTGCTTCAGTCCCTCTATCTGACTGTTTCCTCAGTGGATGATTCGACCGATCTAGATATATGGTCGCCATATTATGGGAACTCTCTCAATCTCACTAAGTTTACACAGAACCAGTACCCGCCCATGCGTAACTATGCCGTATCGACTTTCGTCAACTCGTGTAAGCTTTCCATGATTATCCACGACATCATAGTTCAGCTTTACTATCGCCGCAATCGAACCAATACCGAAGAAACGATTAAGGATATCAAGTCACGTCTCGATTCATGGCGAGAAAATTCGCCACGCCACCTCAAGTACGACCCCGATAATCTTCCAACCATCTGTCCACCACCACATATTATATCCCAAAAGTAAGAATTTTCCCAGGGTCATTATTTCTACATTGGATATCGCTCATAAGACCAAACAGCCTTCTCTACTTTACGACTATCATATTAACTCACCGACCATTTTGGTCTATCCCATCCTACTACAAGGTTTGCATCAGTGCATCACAAAGTATTGAAGCGCTTGTACTCTTACTCGAGTCAACGTTTGGGCTAGAGAACATCACCTACCTGATGGGCTACTGCATCTACACTGGCGCATCCGCCATTTTGGAAGATGCCAAACGCAATAAAGGACCTGCGAGCCAAACGCTGAAAACATATCTCCGTGCGCTCAACGCGGGAATGAAAACCTGCCCGCTCTTGGAACGCAGCCTGCAAATTATCGTCAAGGGACTAAATCGATATCCATCTGGCAGTAGTTTGAGCCTCTCAGGCCATCCCGAGTCCCAAGGCGTAGCAGAGGTGGACTTCCATATCAACACCACTACCGCGAATAGCTACATTCCCGCGTTTCCCTACCTTGGGCCGGACATGTCTATGGACTTTTGCGGGAGTTCATATCTAGGCAACCAGAATCCAGACTCCATGTCGATGCTGGATTGCTTTCCCGAGATGCAGACGGACTTTGGTGAGCTGTTATACACACATGTAGACTAAAATTAAATTTGCAAAATCCAAAGTTGCTTCGAATAAATGAAAAATGGGAGATGATACAAATAGTGATACTTTACTCCGTCCTTGGAGTTTTAACGCCGGGGGGCTCCTTCTAAATCTTTCAACCTATCATAGTGATATGGCCGTTAGATCATGCCTACCTTTGATGAATCCAGACTATTTCTAATAGCACCCTTCAAGACATAGTCGCATGTTTGATGCCGGTGGCCTACATTGAGACACCCTTCATATATAGAACGAATGGCCATACTGACTGAGTAGAGCTGATCAATTAGCACCATCGACACCCGACGTGTATCTAATGCAGTGATCTAGCTTTTTGCCCTTCACCACATGTTTCACCCTTACACCTAAGCCTCCTCGTCTTCACTGCCGTCTTCTGCAGACGACCCCTCGATTTCACTTCCCTCTTTCCACGCTTTTTGTGGATCAGCCTCGTGGCGACCCGTTGTACAGCCAGGAGCCCCATCAGCATTCTTCTCGCAGCATGACCATGTAAAGCCCCCGGGGTATTCCTTTCGTGCCCAGTCGGAGTCTATAGTGCCATGGATATTCTCATCGTGGTCCGCCCAAAAGTCGTTGTCGTCATCCACTTCCATGTCACCTACTCAGGTCAATCATAGTTCTAGACAGCCAGAACCCCACACACAGGAGAAAGTAGGAGCTGGAGGGATAGCACGGTGAACTAACCTGGGTGGTACGAGCAAGCGCCAAGGTGATTTTCATCCTTGTAAAAGGGGGTCTCACATTGGATGCAGACGGCTAGCTCCTCAGTGGCCTTTCGCTTGTTGCCTGGTGCTTCCATCGCGGTCTTCTCCATTTCGGCCAGCGCGTCGAGACGTGCAAGGGCCACTTCCTCCACCTCGCTATCCTTGCACAGAAATGCTAGAGTCGCCTTAACGTGGTGTGTGGGCGCGCGCATAATCTGCTCTTGGCATGTCGAGCCCATCGTGATTGCTCCTTAGTCCTTACTTTGGTCGACAGATTCAATTTAATACAAGAATGATGCGGGGGGATCTCCTCCTTCTGTGGACCCCAGGAAATGAGGCTTCATTCGCTCTCACGTCATAGGAAAAAGAAACGTGACTGGTCATTATTGTTCGCTACCCTAGACAAAGGCCCGCGGTTTAATTAGCCATGTGTTTGCTGTTCGTGAATATAATAAAGCAAGAAGCAACGTCAAGAGGATAAGATAATTGGAGACTATAAAGATCTAAGCCCCTATTCTCGTGTCGAGCTCTTGGCGCTATAGGTAGGCCTTCTCAGTCAACCTTTATGTAATTTATCAACGTGCTCTAACTGACAATGGACGCTACAAGTCAGAAAGTTATTACTTGCTTAGATAAGTAGTAGAGAAAGTCGCTTAAACCCTTAATAATAGATTGAATTGAAGATTGCATGTGTAGAGTATGTGGTCCATTGACCTGGCCTTGCATTTTAGCTCGTCACACTAAATTTCGGGCCGTCGAGAATCAGACAACTTCTTGAACAAAAGAAGTTCGAAGATAGGGCAAAATAATTGAAAATTGCTACATGAGTTTTGAATAGCTATGCATTGAGCAATCTATGAATGAGCTTGCTAGATGGGATGGAATTTCTGACAAAGTTAGATAGTGTGGTTGGATGTCTTGGAAAAGATTCCAGGTGTAATCCTGCTCTACACACTCCTATGGTGAATACTTCTTAACCATCTTCAGTATAGCTTCCTCGGTCTCTTTGGGGTTTGTTGCATTGAGGTAGTGGCCAGCTCCTTCAACAAAAGTTACCGTGGCATCAGGCGAGGATGTGAATAACTTGATATGCTCATTGGGAATAATGTTTCCATACACCGGGTCGTCGGGGCCCTAAAGCGAGTTAGTATTCTTGCCCAAATGAGATTGCTATCGAGTTGAGTTTAAAAAGATTCACCTGAAGCCAATACACAGGGCATTTGACATCTCCAAGACGCGGGAGGAGCCCATCACGGTGGCAGAGATTAAGAGTGGCCATGCGGGCCTTCTTTCGGCCGTTATCACCACTATACACACTCTTGATTGTCTCATCCCAAAAAGCCAGTGTCTCAGGGCTGACGGCGCCGGAGAATCCGAGCCTTGCAACACTCCCTCGCCAAGCCTCATCGACTACGAAATCAGGAGTGGGCTCAGCACTCGTCCAAGATTCAATGAAGCCTTGGAGTGACGTCTTGGGGTCCCAACACCCCTTTTCACGCGAGGCAGCCGACTCATAGTCCATGGATGTACCCAAGGGTAGGAGGCCGAGGATCTAAGATGGCGTCGAACACGCCAACAAGTCTCAGTCATCAAATTAAATCGGGGAAGGTGCGCGTTTCAATGGGAAAAAGTTTGGAAGCTTACCCTCTCTGGAGCGAGCAGTGCCATACGGACGACCACCCAGCCCCCCTGGCTAGTACCTAGAGCAAATGCCTTGTTGATCTTCAGGGCATCCAGGACCTGGAGCGCCATGATGGCGGTGTCCCAATAAGTGAAGTGCTCGGAGGGGCAGCTTGTGGCCCCATGGCCAAGAGGCTCAATCGCCAGGAGATTAAGGGCGTCGGTGAGAGCCTTGCTCTTGAACTGGGACTCAAAGAGGGCGGATGTAGTGCACATAGAGTTGATCAGTACCAGTGTTGGTTTTGTTGGGTCGGCGAAGCCACCTGACAAGCGGTAGCCTGCAGTGATGCCTCCCAAATGAGGAACTTTGATAGTAGTGACGGCAGCCATGTTGAGAGAAACTCTGTTTGTTCGTGGGTAGGTGTGGTATGAAGAGAGGAAAGAAGGAAAGAGTGGAGGGGAACTGAGTTTTGGGGGGTAAGAACTCCTAGGTACTTTGGAGGGGCATACGTAGCACATGTGTCTGTCGAACAAAATGGACGTAAGACTTGGAAAGCCCTGATTCACATTATTGGCGGAGAGCTTCCCGGCGTCGGGTGTTCGGCTGGGGACGAAAATGGCTGGCGCTGTATATCGACTGGTGGTCTATTGTCTGCCGGCTGACAATAGAATATCTTGTGATCATCATTCCAGACAGTGTTCCATTTGCATGCTGATACGGGTCTCAGTTCCAATGGGTCGTTGGCTACTTTCCGCCTCCCCCCTATAACTTCAATAGCTGCCCGTTTGCGGAAATAGAGCCTCCAGATCCAATCCGAGACGTGTGCAAAAAACTGATGAGAGTAGTCGAGCGCGCAACTCAGCTGCCTTCGGGGAGCTGGACTCAGCCTTACACTCGAACCCCTGTAAGGACGGGAGCAATCTGAGCCAATAAGCGGTTCTAAATGAAGGTTAGGCTTGCAGGGCTTCGAGTGTATCTTGGTCCACCGGCGTCAGCAACTGCGGAAACCGGCCCATCTATATCCACCCATCCATGGCATCCAATTCGCATCATCTTACCGATCGTGTAAGCGTACCTCTCCATCAAGGCACAGCCCAATTCTGCTCAGCTTGCCCTTGTATTGGCCCGCACCCGACCTGGAACATTTTCTGCTTGCTCTTGATATTGCCTCACCTTCCTGCGGGCTGCTGCGAGAACCCTGGCACTTCCACCACGATCTTGGCTAAGCTAGCACGCTGGGTCTAATTCTTCTTTCTTTTGCCTGTAGTCCAAATTGTGCAGATATCTGATTATTGTGAGTGCATATGAGGTATTGCACACCAACGCTGCACATTTTCAAAACTTCAATTTTGAAGCTTTTCAAGACCGCAGATTATGTCTCAAGAGCCTATTGATGGTTTTGTCTGTTGTCTTTTTTGAGACCGCAAACGTCACACAATAGGAGTTAAACGTTGCCAAGCACATTGTGGTGTCTAAGTCATAGCAATGGTAAATTCCTAGAGGGGTGGATAGGGTAGGCTATAGACAAAAGAGTTTAACGTGGTGGCGTGGACAAAATATTGGCGGACTTATTTCACTCCTGTACCTCAAATGAGTTCGTCTTTAGTTAAAACTGTATCGTTCGGCACTTGAAAGTTCGGGAATGGTAGAACGTTGAGGTGGTAGGGGGAGCACATTAGGTTTTCTTGTGCTAAGCTCCCAAGAACGTATAAGACGACAAACCAACGCAATGAATTTTGTGTGAATGGGTGCGAGCCGTCAGTGAACCTGGACCGAAAACTATTTCCGCACGACTTTGCATTTCTTTGAGATGGTGGGCGAAAATGCAGACCCCTCAACATCCAAACTCCCAGGATTGCCGGGTTTTCATCCATACAACATTCAGCCATGGATGTTAGGGACGGTGATCTCCGTCACTCTCCTGGCCTTCCTATCTGTCGCTCTCCGACTCGCGGCACGACGGCTGAAACAACAGAAATTGTGGTGGGATGATTGGATGATTATGTTTTCCATGGTAAAGTGCACCATGCTCTGGATTTGCCAATGTTCCTGCATCTAGAGTCTGACTTGGAGATTAGGCCTGGTATATGGTTTGCGTCGGGTTTATTTTTGCTATGGACGCCCACGGAATGGGGATCCATGCAGACTTAGTTAACCCAAGGAAGATTGTCCTTATGGCTAAGTGGCTCGTCGTCGGTGAGATTTTCTACGCCTGGAATCTGGGCTGGACCAAGTTGGCTGTTCTCCTCATGTATTACCGAATATTCCGCATCCCATTTTTCAAACGAATGATCTGGATCGTTGGGTCTTTTGTCATGGCCTGGGTCGTCTGCGTGACATTCCTCTTTATATTCATCTGTGTCCCGGTTGAAAAACTTTGGTACCCTGGCCTCCCCGGGCGCTGTATCGATCAAATAGGAACCTGGATTGCCAACGTAGCGTCAACCCTCTTGATAGACTTGCTGATCCTCTCATTACCCATCCGGCAAATTTGGGTGCTCCAACTTAGAAGCATAGCCAAGATAGGTCTGACATTAGCATTTGGCCTCGGATTCTTGTATGTTGTCTCATTCCATCCCTAGATACATTTCCATTTGAGAGAGGAAAAGTACTGATAGAATGTGACTCAACAGCGTCATTTTCGCATCTGCCTACCGCACGAGCGTTCTATTCACATATAGCAATCTTGACCCAACGTACACCCTCGCCCCTACGGTTGGATGGACCGCCATCGAGATGTCCGCAGGCATCGTCTCAGCAAACTTGCCCACTCTGCTTCCCGTTCTTGTCTACTTCGGAGGTCTTATTGGCATATACACCACCCGAACTGGCAAATCTAGTACTAGTTCTCGATCTCACGAGCTTAGTTCCTCCAAGAGCGGCCGATTCGATGATAGAAATAGTGGCGCTGTGAACGCAGGTGCCCCAAATAGTAGTAATACGTTTGCTGGACTGCCTGATGAAGCGGTCTCTGTTTCTGAGGGTTCAGGGGCAGAGCCAGCATCTGGAGTACCTCCACCACGAGATGCGTCCAATGTTGAATATTTGGAGAACGTACAAGGGCACCAAAACAAAACGTCAGGTTATGCGGGAAAAAACACAGTTATCGATGATGGATGAACATGCCGATGAGGTTCCACTCAATGGAATTTGAGTTAAAAAAGAATTCTCCTGCGGCTCTAGATGTTAGAAATTCCCAGGAATGGTCAAGTAAAATGCATTATTTAGCCATTGAGATATCTTCACTATTAATCGCAAAGTGAATTGGTGAAGAGTTGACAGCTGATACCTAACCATATCTTAAGAATCAATAAGTCCATGCATGATCAACGACTGTAGGTGCCTATGTGCGAAATTCTCCTCCCTAATGAGTGCAGACTTCCGTAAACTCCAGCCCAAACGTCAGAGTTGATCCTCAGTAGCTTCGGTCTTACTAGATCATGTAATCTAGGAGTAGTGCATATCCTACGCTACCAAAACGAATCTAACATTATAAAGGGCGGATGGGGTGATTTGATATATGAGAGTACAGCCACCCCACTTGCCTGGTCCACACAATGGGTATCGTATTAGTTGGTAGTGTAGAGCGGGCTGAGCTGTGGCAACTGACGCGGCATCTGTGAAGATGGCTCAAACAATTACCTCTTTCTATTTAAATATTAATGAACATTGATTGCAATTTGATCCCTAGATCCTTGATAGAGCAAGAGGTTGATTGAATCCCGGCACTCTGGTTGGGATATGCAGATGCGCAAAAGCCGAGGTTGCTTCGCCGATCTTCACCCATGCGGCATTTCCTCCGTGTGTTGGAATATCAACTGGTAATTACTGCTCAATGGTGACAAAAAGCGGTAGATCCAGTTTTATGAAATACCCAGCCTCGATTATTAATTATCTCATAATCAGAGGTTTGCCGGCCTACGTAGCCTCTTTACTCTCATTGAGTCGGGTCTGGTCGGTGAAGATGAAGATGCCCCGTAGGCTTCGTCTCCATCAATGTAAACTCACGCTACACTGGAAGAGTGCTCCTAGTGGAGAATGGTATGTCACAGCATGGAAAGGTAGGGCCGATTTTGAGGCCTGCATCACATGGTCATGAACGCGGGGAACGTTATTTCAGGGTGGGATTGACAATATAGCCTATTATCTGCCGCAAACGGCATCGAGCCGCCAGCCATATAACTGGCTTTGGTCACCGAGATTTAGCCATCCGTGACCCAAACCAGAGCTGGATCCCATCCTCGTCCTTCCTCATGGTGGGGATTTATGAGGACATCGCCCAGTTTCGCGGCCGTAATGCGGAGCTCATCGTGGGTAGTGGGGAGAGTAGGCAGGCTTTAGTTGCAAATATCATCATCTCCTCTTTGGCCCGTGGGTGTATATAACTCGAAGGAAAGTGCTTGCTCTAAGATAGGTTCTTCTTTCAACATAGTTCCCGGCTAAGCATTTCCTTCCTACAAAATGTTGCCTTTCACTTTTGTTCTAGGTGCGGCATTCCTGCCGTACTCAGCATGCTCTGCCTCTGAGGCACAGGACAGCTTGTTTGATGTCAGATCACAAGCTACACCGTTGCCACCGTATCGAAATGCTTCTGTTTGTGTCGATAACAGAGTGGAGGATCTTCTTCAGCGAATGACTGTAGAAGAAAAAGCCGGCCAGATGTTCCAGAACAGTTTGCAGATGGGAGAGAACTATACTCTCTTCCCCGGCTCTTCTTCAGCAAACGGAACTGATGTTGTTGTCGTGGAGAAATTGATGACACACTTCAACTTCGGTGGTTTGGTAGAGGATGCAAAAAAATTTGCTCAATGGCATAACCTTCTTCAAAAAAAGGCTCTTGATACACGTCTCGGAATCCCAATCACTTTGACCACTGATCCACGTCACCACTATTCAACGGCTCGTGGAGCTACAGTTGGGGCAGGGCAATTCTCTCTATGGCCTGACACTCTTGGATTTGCAGCTCTTCGAGACTCGGAGCTTGTTTACAAATTTGCAGACATCGCTCGGCAAGAGTACATCAGTGTTGGTTTCCGTGGTGCTCTGCATCCACAGGTTGATCTGGCGACTGAGCCTCGATGGGCACGAATCTATGGGACTTGGGGCGAAGATGCTCAGTTGACGAGTACTCTTATCAGCGCCTATATCAAAGGATTCCAGGGAAAGAAAATTGGACGCAGTTCAGTCACGACTGTAACCAAGCACTTCCCGGGAGGCGGACCGATGGAAAACGGGGAAGACTCTCACTTCCCAACCGGAAAGAACGAGACGTATCCAGGGAACAATTTTGACTATCATCTTCTTCCTTTCAAAGCCGCATTAGCGGCTGGCGCAAGACAGATCATGCCGTATTATTCTAGGCCTATTAACACCCAGTATGAAGAGGTCGGATTCAGCTTCAATAGACAGATTGTCACCGAGCTTCTGCGGGGCAAGCTTGGATTTGACGGTATTGTTGTGACCGACTGGGGACTCATCACGGATGGCGAGCTGGGTGGCCTTGACTTCCCGGCCCGTGCTTGGGGCGTGGAAGACAAAAGCGAGTTGGAGCGCGCCGAGAAGATTCTTGATGCTGGATGTGATCAATTTGGGGGCGAAACACGCACCGAGTTACTGATCCAGCTCGTCCGTGAGGGAGTTGTCCCTGAGTCAAGACTTGATATTTCAGTCAGGAAACTCCTCAAAGAGAAATTCCTTCTTGGTCTTTTCGACAATCCTTTCGTCAGTCCAGAAGATGCAGAAGAAGTGACGGGAAATGTTGAATTCAAAAATCTCGGCAAGGAGATTCAACGCCGTTCATACACCTTGCTCAGTAACCGCGATAACATTTTGCCTCTCCGCAACTTCGGGGACAAGATCAAGGTATATACCGAGGGATTAAACCTTACGCAGCTCCAAGATGAGCGTCTTGTCAGCGTTGATTCGGTGAACGATGCGGATGTTGCGCTTCTGCGTCTCGCTTCTCCGTATGACCCACGCAATGGCACCTTGGATGCCGTCTTTGGTTTTAGAGGCGGAACCCTCGAGTATTCTGACAGTGAAAAGGCCAGACAAGCGGCCATATACGCTGCTGTTCCAACAATTGTTGATATCTACATCAATCGTCCTGTTGCTGTCCCTGAGGTGGTAGAACAGGCAGCAGCTGTGTTGGCAAGTTTTGGAAGCGCAGACGAGGCATTCCTAGATGTGTTGTTCGGCGACGCGAAGCCGGAAGGTAAATTACCTTTTGATCTGCCAAGATCTAATGCTGCGGTTGAAGCGCAAATGGAGGATGTTCCTTTTGACACCGTCAATCCTGTATTTAGATTTGGGCACGGCTTGAGTTATTAATTATCAGGATGGTGTTGGGATTGTACGTTGTGACTACAAAGGCCTGGTAGCTAGTTGCTTCTTTCATCAAATCGTCAGTTTTTCTTAATCGTATCTCAGAGAAAATGAAGTGAGTTGTCTACATACCAACTCTCCTTGGCATTGAGAGCAGTAGTTCAAATACCCCTTTGCGGAGAGCGGTAGGAGTATTGCACTGCTGGATCGCAAGATGTGCAGGGTGTTCTGTTGCGCTTCAAAACCACTGGCTACCCGTAGTTAGCGTCGTTGCTGATGAAACTTTCTATTTCCTCATGCTTGCTAGCTCTTTTTAGGGCCCAGCACTGAGTATTCCGTATTTTAAATCCTGTAGTTTGAAAAGTTGGCGTTACATTGAGAAATATTGCCTGTTACATCACTCCCCCTACGGGCTGCAGAGCCCAAAGCTCTTTCCCCATAGAATAAGTATTATCGAATCTGAAAAAGAAAGTCTAATTAAGCTTAATACAATCCCATAAGCTAGAGCACACCCAAGGCGTCTCGTAACCCTGTATTCGGCCAACCCCGCACTTTCTCATGAGGGGGTTCTGGGCAGTCTCCACGCCCCCATGGAGAAATACAACAATCTATGGTCGTCTGATATCATTCTAGGGTGAATTGAACGGGCCCGGTCCAATGAAAAGTCATTTAATTGCTCACAGAATATTAAGAGTTTCAGGGAGTACGTTATCATGCGTCTAGGCCGGAATTCTTCACCCGACGAGCAGCAAGGTTAGTCCGACTTGGGATTATTTATACCTACTATCTCGCTTTGCAGTACCATTTGTAAATACCACATGTCGATTAACCCTGCTCCTAATCCTCAGAGTCTAAGAGTTTGTCTGACATTACCGTTTCATTCTTCTCAGCATGTCCTCATCTCATGAAAAAGAACGGCCTGACTACAGCCACAACGAGGAACCTGAACCTAGCCCAACAAAAGACAAGAATAATACCTTAAATGATAACCAAAAGCCTGAATATGTCCAAGAATTCACGCAAAAGGAGATGAGGCGTATCCGCCGGCGGGCGGATCTTCGCCTTCTCCCTGCCTTGGGTCTAATGTACGGCATATCCCTCATGGATCGGAAGAATGTTTCGAATGCAGCTATCGCAGGAATGCTTGATGATCTCAAGCTAAATACTGGGTATGGGTACAGCACGATCACGTTGATGTTCTTCGTCTCATACGTCATCTTCCAGCCAGCTATGACCGTCCTTTGTCGTAAGCTTGGGCCCAAGGTCTTCCTCTCCAGCATCTGCATTGCCTGGGGCGCCGTTATTATCGGTTTTGGGTTTGTCCACGACTGGAGAGTAATGGTTCCTCTTCGTGTTATATTAGGGACCTTCGAAGCTGGTTTCTTTCCTGGTGCGGTGTATCTCCTGTCCACATGGTACACAAGATGTATGAACCTTCTGACCTACATTGAAGTCAACTTTGACTGACCAAATGGCCCATAGTCGAGATTGCCAAGAGATACTCCGTTTTTTATTTGACGGGTAGTATCTTGTCTGCAATGTCTGGAATTCTTGCGTATGGGCTAATGCAGCTTGAGGGCCATGGGGGACTGCGAGGCTGGCGATGGTGAGTTATTGTAAACATTCCGTCTCCATTGTTCTAGGTCACGACATATCTCGGTTATTTGAGACTAATTATGTTAACCATACGCGCACTAGGATATTTGTGCTGGAAGGAATCTTGACCTGCGCGGTCGGCATTTTTGCTTTTATCGTCCTTGTCAAGTTCCCGGACCAAGAAGTCCAGATCCCATCTCCTCTCTTCCTAACACAAGATGAGGCTAAAGCCGTGCTACAAAGGCTTAACGAGGACCGCGGCGATACCCAAGTTGAGCCATTCTCACTTGTGTCTTTCCTGAAGCCGGCCAAAGAGATTGAGATTTGGGGGTTTGCACTCCTATTCTTGTACGTTATTTCCTGACTCGTTTCCCTTGTCGATTCTAGTCACATCTCTGCCTCTTTTTTATGAACACCAAAGTTAATATTGCTTAATGAAATTATAGCCTCACCACCACAGTCTCATATTCCTTCGCCTTCTTTCTGCCGATTGTCTTGAGACAGAACCTCAAGTTTAGCGTAGCAGCATCCCAGTGTCTCGGTTCACCTCCATACGTCTTCTCCGCTTTCGTTATGTACGCAGGGTCGTGGGCAGGCGACCGATATAAGAAGCGAGCACTCATCATATATGTTAATTCACTTATCAGCCTCATCGGTCTACCCATCATGGCATTTCACCCCAGCCCTGCAGTAAAGTATTTTGGCATTTTCATTGCCGTTGCTGGAGTGAATGCCAATATCCCGGCAATCATGGCCTACCAGGTTCGTCTTAAACGCTGCCCGTTGCAGTTTATCAATCATGCTGATTTCTTGTTTCCATCATAAAAACAGGCAAATAACATTCGAGGACAATGGAAACGCGCGTTTTGCTCCGCTACTCTTACCGCATTTGGTGGAATTGGAGGCATTTCTGGAAGTCTTGTGTTCAGGAGCCAAGATTCCCCCCTCTACCGGCCTGGAATAATTGCTTGTCTTGTGTAAGCCGCATTCCCAGTGCGCCAACGGCTGAAACATTATCGTTTCTTCTGTCGACGTCAGATGCCAATCACTTTTAATCGAACTAATTTATTTTGCAGATCTATTGCGCTTGGTGTTGTTTTGACAGTACTGCTCACCCTGCTGTTCCAACATCGAAATAGGAAAGCAGACCGTGGCGAATACGTTATCAATAACAGCTCGGAGTTCCGATACACAATCTGAAGCACTTCAGGGCCTCAAGTAGTTTGGCGGTGAGAGCCAAGAGGTACAAACGCACTCACCGTTGAAAGGTGGTTTGGTTTCAGCGTGCTGTTTGGCTTTCGCCAAATGCCACAAGATTATATTCTAAGGAGGAAAATATGCCAGCTACCACTGGCCAATTTGATTTCAACTGGTCTATTATATATGTAGATAGAAGGGGCCTTAGCGCTAAGTGATATATATTGACCTATCAGTAGAAAAATAATGCAAGTTCTTGTATCCGATATTGTTTCTCCCCTAACTCTTGATAAAGTTGGCCAAAGGCATGAGGTCAAGATTTGCCAAGAGTAGTCGAGAGGCGAATATTGAAGTGTGAAACTACCGGAAATTATCTCATCAATCATAACGAGTGTGATAAGCATGCTCCCGAAAGCGCGTTAGTTATGGACAGCTTATGGTCCCATCCAGCAAGTCAATTCGAGGTAAAGACAAACTTGTATGATGTCCACAAACAGGTCAAGTCCGTTGTGTCTTGAAATGTATAAATACACAAGCTAGTACAAGGGCTTAATCTACCTTAACCTTCCTATTGTAACAATGGAAGTCCAAACCAGAGCTAGAGACAAAGGTCATAGGATACGTAGCCACCCACTGTGTGCACGATACACCAGGAGATTTATCCAAATTGTCCTAAATCACAAAAGACTAAGCTGCCACCATAGTCATCCTTCGTAACATCACCTGTTCATCAAGGTAGCCCACTCTTCTACCCACTTACGCATCCAAGCCTTATCCACGGCTGGCAGCAATTTTAGGGTAGGACTCAACGGACTGGCATGGCCAACTTCCATCAGACCCGCTCTAGCCCCCTTAGCCCACAAGTTATTGTTATAAAAGTCCAGCAATTTGAGTGCCGGGTTTCTAGGAGCAGCAGAAGCGAGCCCATTCACGCTATCATCAGTGATGAGCCCAGTATGGCTCTCCTTGAGCCGCTGTAACCAGACAGCATGATGTACAACTTCAATATCCAAGCCTTGAAAATCCTTGGCAGTCTCCAGAATGGTGGGAACGAGTTCGGCCCAGGAGGTAACCCTCGGGTTTCGCAAGTTAAACACTTGCGCTCTTGAGTGACTTGGGTCCGCTTCATTTGTGTTGGTTGCGATGTCAATGATGATCTCGCTCAGGACATCGGATGGGATCCAGTCAATGTCTTCCATAACTCCAAGGCTGTCGGGCAGGCATCCCAGGTAGAGTGAACTGATGACAATGCTTGGTAACCATTCGGAAGGATTCCATAGGCCTCTCTGATGGATCGGGCCGGCGATCTGTCCGACACGAGCGATAATAGCAGGGATCCCAACATGCCTGGCTGCCGTTTCCAAGATTCTTTCAGAGATAAACTTGCTCTGTCCATAGCCCTCTTGGATTTGCGGAGGAGTTGTTACAATGGTTTCAGGGGCACTCTTGCCGTTGCCAGAAATCACCGCGCTGACTGACGAGATAAATATAATCTTAGCAAGTCGCGGTGCTGAGGCGGCCGCCAGCGAGCATAAATTGACAACGCCAGCCAGCTGAGGCTGAAATGCCTGGAGTCCAAGGATGAAGTTGACAGGCCAGGCATTATGTATGATTATCCCGACACGTTCAGTTAAGATTTGGTAGGCCATGTCATCCAGCCCGAGCTTGGGATGCGCCAGGTCAGCCTTCAAGAACGTTACTCGGCTCTCCATCTCCTTTGTGAAAATGAGACTGGCTGCCGCAAAACGCGTCGATTGTACAGCTTTGCCACCATCTTCTCCGCGGTTAAGGCAGAATATATGACCAAGCTCCGAACGGCTTAGAATTGAATGCAACATGTAAGTCCCCAAATACCCGGTTGACCCTGTTAGAACAATGTCCCATGGCCTGCTGCTGGCGGTCGAACCAGTGGATAGGTGGATAGATTTGACAAGTTCTATGTATGTGGACTGAATTGAGCTCAGAATATCTCTAGTCTGCTTTTGTCCAGAGTTACCCTCAAACAATGCCTCACTCAGCTGTCTTACGGTGGGATTCTTATACACAGCAGACATGGAGATTGCTGGGCGGCTCAAGTGGCGCCGCAAGGCTCGTGTGATCCGGAGCGCCTGGAGGGAGTCCATCCCCTTATCAAAAAAGACATCATCTTCTCCAAGAGTGCCCCAGCCAGTAATCGACTGGACTATGCTGCGGACGGGCGTGGCCAAGGGGTTGATGCTATACTGCTCGCTTCCGTGGCTGAGTTCATGGTCTGCATTAACGTAGACCTGGTCAAATCTCGAGTGCATATTGCTTGATGGTACCGCCTCTCTATGCAATTCCATGGCAAGGACGTACCATTAGGCTACCTGCCTTGGTAATGAGCATGAATGGCGTCTTTATGCGAGTGAGGTGTCTAAGGCCTTCGCAGCTCCCCCTCTCCAAACGAAGCCAGATACGATAATCTAAGGCAATCTGAGCTTTTGGAATCAATAAGTAGGCCTACCAAGAACCTCTGTGAACCAAAGACAAGGGCACCAGCCACCTCGGGATTCTTGCTAGCGATCTGCTGTTTCACAAAAATTGGGTTATCTTCTCGCCAAGGGAGGGTTAGTTGTATCTTTAGATCTTACGAGCCAACAATATATTGGGCACCATAGTGTGCTACACTCGCAAGGCACCGCCGGAAGTGAAACTACAAAAAAAAAGAAAACAATCAACGCACAGGGGGGTGGGGAGTTTCACGATTCGATATTTTCGCTACTATGTACTTCTGACAGTAATTTGGTTGTTGCAGTATGATCATACGATTCGGCATTACTCAATGCATACTCGTTAGTACTTCGTAAATGCTGCTCTCTCATGCAGATGCAAATCGATCTAACGAGGCTAAGTTTACTTCAGGTAGATATCAGGAATCATACGACGTCGTATAAACGAACACTTGATTGACCTCGGCTTGCGCGTTCGCACCTATAGGATAAAGCGGTCGGGAGTCAGGACAGGGGCATATCAGGGTTCGAGATGCGGGTGGTTGAATGTCGCCTGTGGGACAAGTAATGACTCAGGACTGCAGTATACCGAAGTCCCAACATCCCGGGTCTGGTCCGACTGCCACATCAACAGCTGGCTAATACTACCTACCGCAATAGGTTGATTATTGATGGCAGCTTATGGGCTCATTGAGCTGACACATGCGACGAGTTTGTTAATCGCCGGCGTTGGTGTGTTCCACACAATGATATCGGGCGGGGAATAGCCGCGCAGATAGTCAACTATTCGAGGTATCCGGTCTAGAGCTTGGGACTACGCGGCCAAGTCTACTCGGCTTATCCCTCTTCCCCGGATCGGTCAAGATTCCAGCCAATTGGCCCGATTCGCTTTGCCCGTACTGTGGGTATGCTCTGATGTCGTATCTGGCTGGCCGGCCCGCTCAGAGGATGATGATCACTGGGCGGTTGGTGCTACTATAAAGAGATATGTGGCAAGAAATGTGGCCTGTTGAGCACCAGGTAAGCATCCTTGTCAGTAGACGATTGGTTCTCGGCGATTCTACATACTCTGTGGATGAACTTGTGTAATATTTTGGCATGAACAATAATCTACCATCTATCTTTTACCACTTCATTTATTACTCTTTCTCTAAAAGGGGGTTTCACCATGTGGTACATGGGGAGTATTCCGGGGGTGTTTTTATTGGATGCACCTATGACAGTGCGAGTTTGGCTCTTGCAGTAGTCGTCGCCGACGCTTGGAAAACCCCGGCCAAGGATCTTACATGCGGTACGAAGCAGCCGAGACTATGGATGCTTGCCCCGAGAGACTTGCAAGGGTCCTCATGCTTGCTCACCCCATGAATCGGGCGCTGGTTATCTCTTTGCAAGGGCCTTCCGCCATCTAAGGCCTTAGGGTGTCCCCGGGATGATCACTCACCACACCTCCTCGGGTCGGGGAACCACGGTTCTACGATCCATTTATTTGGGGAGTTTCTAGCAAATGGTAAGTAACAGACCACCCCATCTGAACGACTTCTGTACAATCATTGGACGTATCGCTAACCAGCATGGCAATACCGTCCATTCTCTCGTACGATTACGCTGGACTCAAAGGGGCTTATGCGGCCAGGAAGGGTTGAGAAGGAGCACAAAGCTAAGGAAGGTTGGGATTTTGTAGAGATTCTTACGTGGTTCTTCGCATTTATTATAGTGATACAAACGATATCCTAAGGCGTTGGGAAGAAGAACATACAAAAGAAACAGATTTTTTTGATCACATACTGCAGATTGTCGTGTCCCGCTGCCTGACATGGCTTGAATTTGATTGAAATTATAATCTGGTAAGGTAACTTCATCATAGAGCACACCCAACCAACCTCAAATCAGGTTGCGATAACCAGATATTCGTTATCGCCATACAGGACGTCACAGAATGCATCACTGCCGTCTTAGGGCTCGTATGACCGGGGAATATTTACAGCGGCCGTCCGAGAGAAGCCATGAGACCAAATGATTTATCTATCAGGCAAATCTCTGGGCAATGGACAGGCGTTGAAGGCCATCACTACTCTTAACAATAAAATATATTCGTCAAGCCATCCTGATGTTGAAAAGAGTTATGTGGTTTCCAAATGATAGGAAGCGGCGTGAAAAAAAGAATCATGCTGGTGGCTTTCTAGAAAGAATGCACCACAAGAGCTTACCTCCTTTATTGAATCAGTCCCCCTTTCGAATCGCAAGGAAAGCGTAATCAATGTACTAGACTCAATGTGTAAGGGAAGGAGATATCCTCTCGCGAATGCCATGTCGGATGAGAACAACTTTTAATATGCAGACAGCAATTAAGGGGAAATACGACGGTAAACAATGGAGAAAATAACACCCTATTGAAGTGACCATCGAGGCTCAGAGCTATCTAATTAGAGCGCCTTGATCTCGTTGATGAACATAGAATTAGCAGAGGTTGATAGACATGACAGCATTATGTATATGAATAGCTGGCTGTTGTAACGTGCCAAGCTGAGTAGCAGCATGGTCATCTGGTATTTCGAGAGGAATGGGTTAAAGGAGCCGGCGGAGTGGCAACAAGAAACAGAAGCCTGGAATCCTCCATTGCTACCATTTTTCGATTCTTGTGCCCATTACTTTCTCTCGCTCGCCTAAGTGCGGTTAGGCGCAGGGAAATGGCATGATGTAGTGTCAACAAGGATGTACATCTCATGCAACATCCAGCGCATCTTGACCGACGGCTGGGTGTGGAGACGAAGGATTCGGTGGTACAACCAATATCACCTAACACGCCAGCAGTGGGGAGACTTTGAGAACTCAACGGTACTTCCTCCAAAAGTTGCCAATGGCTCACTTGGAAGTTAAAGACGTTGTCCTCGGTGACTAAATATGAATATATATCCAGGATCCTCTTCCAGTTGCTTCATGCGTTCTACTTAGAGAGGTTTATCTGGTCCTATTACTCTTCAATCAGCATCAACAGGGAAATTAGACTCCGGACATACAACATCACGGAGAATGAATGGCCAACATCAATGGGAAGTTCCAATCACTTCGCTAGCAGTGGTTGGAATCTCCTTTCGACTTCCCGGTGGTGCTAATAATCCCGAAAAACTATGGGAGATTTTGAGTGAGGGGACCGATACTGTAAGTAGAACCTCTGGCTGTTGCCTATATCATCTGCTACTATTGCTACCACATGATATACTGAGTACATCGCAACATATTCTGTGATGTGGCGCTTTGTCTCTGACATATTGCGCGTGGTCTCTCTCTACCTATCTGCATTGTGGCCACGCGTACTAAACACTTGATTTTGCTTAGTGGTCTCCGGTCCCAGACGACCGATTTAATGAGCGCGCGTTCTATCATCCCAGCCCGGATGATCCTAACGGAACCACCAACCACCGAGGTGGACACTTTATCGAGGCAAATTTGCGAAGTTTTGATACGACCTTCTTTCGTATAGCGCCGCAGCAAGCAGCATATATGGATCCACAGCAGCGTATGCTTCTAGAGTTGACTTATGAAGCATTGGAGAACGCAGGCCTGCCCCGTGAGCAGTATAGCGGTTCAAATACTGGAGTGTTTGGGGCCCTTTTTATTACGGATTTTGACCGCAACGTGCTCAAAGATACAATCGGCAAATCCCCATACGCTCTCCTTGGCCAAGAGGAGGCGATGATCGCAAACCGAATATCCCATTCACTCGATCTTCAGGGCCCATCATTAACGCTAGACACTGGATGTTCCGGCGGAATGGTAGCTCTCCATCAAGCGTGCAGTGCTCTACGTAATGGAGAGTGCGAAACAGCCGTGGTTGCTTCGGCTAATCTAACATTGAGCCCGGACCATGCAGCGGAAATGTCTAGCCTGCACTTCCTTGGCGGCGATGGTCGCTGTTATCCGTTTGATAGCAGAGGCAGCGGCTATGGTCGCGGAGAAGGGCATGTAGTCTTCGTCCTCAAGCGGTTGCAAGACGCCCTCGATGGACGCTATCCAGTGCGCGCAATTATAAGAAGCACTGCGGTCAACCAGGATGGCTATACACCAGGCGGCATCACGCATCCCAACAGAAAGGCCCAGGAGGATATAATTCGATTTGCCTACTCAAGAGCCGGCCTACAACCGTACGATATCAGCTACATCGAAGCCCACGGCACTGGAACGGTGGCAGGCGACTCCGAGGAGATGGCCGCCATTTCCAGCGTGTTCACAGGCCCGGGGCGGTCATCACCTCTGTACGTCGGTTCAATAAAAGGTAACATCGGGCATACAGAAAACACAAGTGGGTTGGCCGGCGTACTAAAGTCTATACTGGTACTCGATCATGAACAGATCCCACCCCTAACCAATTTCGACATCCCCAAGCCTGGTCTACCCCTAGACGGCATATGCCTCCCCAGAACGCTTAAGCCCTTGCCACGAGTGCCGGGCATACCTCTGCGTGTTTCGGTGAACTCATTTGGCTATGGTGGCACCAATGGCCACGCCATCCTCGAGGAAGCTCCGGATAAGAATACAATTAGGCCACCAGATGATAGCTCTCTGGGTTCCTTGCCTCTTCTCTTTCAACTTTCTGCTAACTGCAAAGAATCTCTTCTGTCCTTGATGGAAAAGTATGCATCGTGGCTTGGGAACCATCTCCAGGCGTCGCTGATTGACCTATCATACACACTCCGTGAGCGGCGGTCTGCTTTACCATGCCGTTTTAGCTGCGTGGCCGAAACACATGGTGAACTTGCTCAACAACTCAACAATGGTTTGAGTGGTAGTAAAATCCAAAATGCGTCATCGAACGGGGGGACTGTTGTTTATGTTTTCACCGGACAAGGGGCCCAGTGGCTTGGGATGGGTAGAGAGCTGTTGAAAACAAATGGTTTGGCCTCAATATTTCAGAAGTCCATCCAGGCTTCGACCGAGATTCTTCTACAACTTGGAGCTACATGGAACCTAGAGACAGCACTTCTTGGCACTGGGCCCGAATCAGATTTATTGAACACAGCGGAGCTCGCTCAGCCAGTCACCACAGCTCTACAAAGGTACAGCGCCCCTTTCTTGTAAAGACCTTTCTTACACTGTTATGTTGTCGCTAACTGGTACCTGTTAGTATGTCCGCATTCCATCATGTGATTTTCCCCAGTCAACAAAACATTGACGAGTATAATTACGATCAAACATCATGCAGGTGCTAACAGCTGGTAGTTGCTCTGATATCCCTACTGCACAGCCAAGGGGTCAAGCCAGATGTTGTTGTAGGGCACTCCAGTGGTGAGGTAGCAGCGGCATATGCTGCTGGTTACATTTCCCACCAAGTAGCCCTCACTATCGCCTTTCACCGCGGTTTCATGGCTCAAGCAGCTAAGCAAATGGACTTGCCAGCTGGTGGAATGATGTCTGTGGGCCTTGGGGAAGAGGAAGCAGCCAAAATAATCAAGAGCCTGAGCAAGGGAAAGGTCGTGATCGCGTGCATAAACAGCCCCAGCAACGTCACTATATCTGGGGATGCCCTCGCTCTCGATGAGCTCTCGCAAATATTAGATGACAATGGAGATGGTATATTCCGACGTCGCCTATTCGTCGATACCGCATACCACTCCCACCATATGATGGCTGTAGCAGAGAACTATCGTGCTCGGCTTGGCACACTTGGCCACATGGAACCGACGAGTACGAGCAATCAACCTCGATTCGTCTCATCCGTGACAGGAGCAACCAAATCAAGCGGTTTTGGTGTTGAGTATTGGATCGATAATCTAGTATCCCCTGTACGTTTTCGAGACGCCATCCAGACCGTGGCCACAGACTTGGGCTTTCATCGCACGAGTCAGCGCAGCCCCAATGTCTTCTTTATCGAGGTTGGCCCACATCCAGCTCTAGCAGGCCCTGTCAGACATTCTCTTGCTGAAGGGGGAGGAGTAGTTCCCGAATTCACCTACGGCTCTGTTTTGCAGCGAAAAATGGGCGCAGTCACGAGCGCACTCTCTCTCATCGGTCGACTCTTTGAAAGAGGCTTTCACGTTGAACGCACTGCAGTATCCGATTTGGTTCCTGAATTTGCCACAGCAAAAGTCTCTACAGATCTGCCGTCTTATACGTGGGATCATTCGGTCGACTATTGGAAAGAACCTCGCCACAGCTCAGAGCATCGCTTCCGTCGCCACCCGTATCATGATCTCCTCGGGGTCCATATTCCTGGATCAGTCTCTACAGAGCCTCAGTGGCGCCACTCAGTCAGCATTGAGACGCTCCCTTGGCTCGCGGACCATGTTATTGATGGTCTCATTATCTTTCCAGGTTCTGGCTATATTTGCATGGCACTAGAGGGGATACGGCAGTTGCAAAATGATCGTTACCCATCTCAGACACTCGAGTTCTTGGTTGTCCGAGACGTCTCATTCATTCGAGCACTTGTTATTCCTCCGACAGGCCAAGTAGAGCTGCAACTCAGACTCAGACCCAGAGCCACCTTAGGCCTGGATTTCAGCTTTTCTATCGCTGCATTATCTGACGGCGAGTGGAGCGAGAACTGCACAGGTTGCGTTGAGGGGCTGCTCATCGATGAACTGTCGAGTCACAGAGAGGAGACAACGCAAGCGGGCCAACCGGAGCTTCCAAAAGGTCAACTTGTTGAAGTCAGCCAGTTGTATGACGGTCTCAGAGCATGTGGTAACACGTACGGCCCATCCTTTGCGGCAATCCAGTCTTATATCCTCTCAGCGGATGCGCAACAATCAATGGCGGCTGTGATGATACCTGACGTAGCTGCCACTATGCGCGCTCAATACCAGGAACCTCATTTGATCCACCCCTCCACGTTGGACGCGATCCTACACACCTCCCTTCCAGTCGCTCAACAGAGTCTGGGTTCTGGTTCCATTATGCCGGTGCATATCGATGAGTTTCTCGTATCAACTGCACCGAACTTGCCGACTCAGCCTGGTTCGGAGCTTCAGGTAAATACCAAGATGCTGTCGAGTCGTTTCCGCACCGCTCATCTCGACCTGGTCGTCACGACAAATGCTAGTAGGAGCCCCGTCCTGGCAATATCAGGCGTCGAGGTACGCAAAGTCGGAGACGGCCCCGAAGTTAATCATGATAGTCGTGCAGCCGAGGAGCCCGAGACCTGCTATCAGGTTGAATGGGAAGCTGATCAGGACTTCCTACGTGTTGAGGACATGGAAGAGAGTCCCACTTTGGAACGGCTCTTGGGTTATATCTCCTTCAAGACTCCTGGGCTTACAATCTTGGACATGAAGCCCAGTAAACGGCCTGCGGAATTCTCCACTCTTGATGTCATTGAGGGACACAGAGGCTCTGTGGACCTGTATGATATTTTTGAGCACAAGCCTCTCCCTAATGGCGGCCTGAATAACGGCCACACTAATGGCGGACCCTGGCAGATAGAGGATATCAGACCGAGCCTGCATTCCCCGTCCTACGACGTCATCCTAATCACATCTCTGGAATGGCTCGAGGCTGCCTCTTCAATCCTAAAGCCTAATGGTATCCTCATATCTGTCATTTCGCCTAGTGACGAAATGACGGCGGTGACTTCACCTTACCTACAAACGCAACTCACGTTCGAGGACACGACACTGGGCCAAAAGATCGTCATGATGCGCCCCGTCAAGGCGTCTGAAGACAAGAACCACTCTGAAGAGATCCAAGTTATTTGTCATTCGGAGGGACAGTCCGTTTCGCCTTGGGCTAAGACTTTGATTGATGCTCTACCCTCTTATCAGATCAATATTCAAGGTGCTCCCACCACCCTGGACAGCAAGGCTATCCAGAACAGTGCTTCAGGAACGCCCACCCTTGTAATCGAGGACCAACCTCAAGCGATTCTCTCGGACCCAAAATATTTTGGACCAGCCACATCGCTGTTGAGGCAGCCGGCCCAGGTGGTATGGGTCAGCTCGGAGAACGATGTCCGCGCTCATCAGACTACGGGGGTTATCAGGACGGCTCATGCTGAGAACGATAGCCTCCGTGCCACGACAATCTACACCGAGGCTGAAGCACCGTTAGATGACCGCTTTCATGATTTGGTAGCATATTCTATCTCCAAAGCTGGTGAAAAGAATCGTGAGCGCGAGTATCGCATGCTTAAATCCGGGACTGTTCTAGTCCCTCGTCTTCGCATCCATAAGGGATACACCGATGCTGTTCGAGCTGATTCTGACAAGATTTTTGATGTCAAAAACCGCTCTATCGAGGACTTATCTCACCCTGTAGAGCTTTGTATCAGCAGCAGGGGCCAGAAACCCGGCGATGCCTGCTTCGCTGAACAGGAGACCTCAGGTGCCAACTCCATGGCACAGAATGATGTCCAGATCGCTGTAGACTGTATGGCTGTGACGGGGTCATACCGTTCTAGCCACTTAGGCGAGTACGTTGGTACCATTGCGAGAGTTGGTTCGTCAGTCAATGGCTTCGTTGTAGGGGATCGGGTAGTCGCTCTTGGGACTACGATCGGTTCAAGCCATCCCTGCGTGTCTCAGGCTCATGCCGTGCACCTCCCGAACAACTTGAGCTCAGTGAAGGCGTCGGCTCTCGTTATGAGTGCCATGACTGCCATCTACTGCCTACGAGAATTAGCCAACCTATCCCAAGGTGATACTGTCCTGGTCCATGGTGTAGGAACAGCCGTGGGTAAAGCGTCAATTGCTCTTGCTCGCTTAATCGGGGTGCGTGTAGCTATTGCAGTGGCAGACAATTCCGAGGCAGTACTTTTGCGGCAAAGAGAGGTGTTTTCTCCCGATGATATTTTCATCGTTCGGCCATCTCTAACGCGCCGATCCGCAAAAGAATTGTTTGGCAACGGGTTAGACGCGATTATCAGCGCAGCAGAGGATCCGTTACCAACCGAGATCCCGCGTCTTGTAAAGCCTGGCGGATCTATTCTCATTATGACGAGCTCTACTCACAATACCTTTGCCACTACGCTCCCAGTTGAGCTGCCTCGTAATACTACGATTCATCACTGTGACCTTCGCAGCTTGCTCGAAGCGCGTCCTAAGATGATTGGTAGCCTACTACCCCAGGCTGTGTCGCTGCTGAGCTGCATCTCGCTTGATGGTCTAGATATTTTGGTTCGTGAGGTTTCCCAGACTCAGGAAGCTCTTAAACTTTTAGACAGCCACGCCTACCCCATAGCTATTTTACAAGTCAAGAAAGACTCTTTGACGCCAGTCAAGGTGATGAAACGATCGACATGGCAGCACGAAAACGGCTCATTCGTCATCTCAGGGGGGCTCGGGGAACTTGGTCAACGATTTCTTCAATTGCTGGCCCGATACGGGGCGAAGTTCCTTGTCACACTCTCTCGAAGCCTTCTACCCGAAGATAAGCTGCAGAAACTCGAGTCTAAGCTAAAAGCCATTAATCCAGAATGCCGCGTCTACTGTATAAAATGCGATATAACATCCAAAGAAAGTGTCGAGGAAGCGGCCAGGAGCATCAAAGACTTGGGACTCTACCCTATCCGCGGTGTCATTCAGTCTTCTACTATAATTCGGGTAAGTCTTCAGCATCGACCTAAGATAGTCGAGCCCTTTCTCTTTCCATCCAAAGCTTGGAATCGAGTAGAGATCACTACTAATCGAATCGCGCAGGACGGCACCCTGGAAACAATGAGCTTCGAGGATTATCGCTCGTCATTTCAAATCAAAGCCGATGGCTCTCTGCACCTATATCGTGCCTTCTCGTCCACCAGTTTGCGGTTTTTCATTCTACTCTCATCAATCGTTGGTGTGGTCGGGACTAGCGGCCAAGCGAATTATAATGCCGGCAACGTAACGCAGGACATCTTCTCCCAGATCCACGGCGGAGATTCATGTCGATTTACCTCTCTAGACATTGGCTGGGTCCCTAACACCCATCTGGTCGCAGACTACGAGGTTCGGAAGAACTCCGTGCGCCGTGCAGGTCTCCATCCAGTTTTACCTCAGGCGTTGTACAACTTCTTTGACCACACCATCGCCGCTACAGCTACCACTGAGCGCACATCGCAGGTCATCATAGGTATTGAGTCAAAGGATGCGGCACAGTCTATCGCTGTCAATGGAAACGTCTATTCGCCTCTATTTTGTCACGTCATTCACAGTGCAACAGATGTCAAGAAACCATCAGACGGCGCGACGCAGACATTTTCCGAGGTCGTCGCAACTGGCGACTTTGACTTGATTGTGGACTTCATTTCAAGAAGATTTATGGCTCAGCTTGCACGTCTACTGTACGTAGATGTCTCAACGATTGACCGCTTCCTTACGTCGCTATTGGTACTGGGGGTGGACTCATTGGTTGCCATCGAACTTCGGAATTGGGTCCAGAGAGAGTTTGATGCAAGCGTCCAATCATCGGAAATCTTCACTGACCAGTCGGTTTACACTCTTTCTGAGAAGATTGCGACCCGATCACGCGCAATTAGCAACTTGGAATTTCAGATGTAATTACAGCGATAGGAATGGAGATAGACCTAAGAAAGGCAAATCGAACACATGAGCATACCTAGATAATATTAGCAAGCATGCGACGTGGCTAGAGCTCTGGTGATTAGGGTCGCCCTCGAGGATCGTCAAGTCGTTGCCGTCACGCTTGAGCTGCAACCCATGTACCAGCCCGGCGAGGGACCCCCTGACATAGCGACTTATTTAAAATGAGATTTCACCCATCGGAGACTGAAAGGGCAGACTTTGACTTACCACGACGACGGGCTTAGACATGGTGATTTACCTGTCGCAAGTCGAAGAGAGAGTGAGTGCTCGGGGCTTACAGAACCTTCAGCGGGGATGGAGACATTCTCTTTTGCGCTGCAGGTGTTCATACTACATACACAACGCAGCCGAAGGCAGTGCAACATGTGGGCAGGAAGCACGGCAGAGATGAGAATCAATCTAAGTGTTGGCCCAATGTTGAACCGGGGTTAGACAAAGCCCCCTTCCCGAATTTAGTCAGGCTTTTCCGATCATTTACGGCAAACCATGAAGACACACTCTCGTCGTAACGGTCGTCTTGGCAAGACCTCTTTCCCCGTGTCTGCTCCTACATACCTTTGAACAGAAACCTGTTATTACTTCTACTACTCTTTCTCGTTTTCTTTTTCTTTTCTTTTCACTGTTAGATATCCATTAGGGGCTTACAAAATGGAGGAATAATAAACTTCAACTCTACTCTCATAACGCATGATTGCTGGCTCACGGAATGGTGGGTGGATTCATGACAATTGGTTTTTGAACAGTGACGCCAATATTATTCTTTATTCATCCCGGCCTAACATTATTCTATACAATCCGCAGCCCACAAATAGAGTCACTCGTCTTTGCATGCTTTAGTGCTTCTTACCCTTCTTGCCTGCGGCCTTCTTGGGAGCAGCCTTCTTGGCCGCAGCTTTCTTGGGAGCAGCCTTCTTCTTGGGTGCGGCCTTCTTCTTGGGAGCAGCCTTCTTGGCCGCAGCCTTCTTCTTGGGTGCGGCCTTCTTCTTCGAGGGCGAGAGGGTCTTCTTCGTGTTGGCAATAGCCATGGAAGTATTGGTAGAGGAGAGAACACGATCAAAAGTCTTGCCCTTGTGCTTGCTGTTGGCAACCTTGCTGGCAACCTTCTTGATGCCGTTCTTGGCCTTCACGCCAACGGTAACCGCCTTCTTAAGCGCGCTAGATCCAGGGATGATATTCTTGATTTTGGAGATGCCCTTGAAAGCTTTGGGGACTGCCTTGAGGGCGCTGAGGATGCCGGCTCGGGTCTCAAGGTCAATATTCTCGTCAAAAATGGCTCGGACGACGAGGTCGAGGTCCATATCTTGGTCGTGCAGAGCTCGGGCGACAAGTTCGACATCGGAATCTTCATATAGAGCTCGGGCGAGAAGGTCGAGATTCACGGAGTCGAGAGGCCCGTTGGCATCGCGGACGTCGATGTCGGCCATGGTATTGTAAGGAGCTGCCGCAGCTTGCTCAGCAAGGCCGAGCAAGACAACGGCGGGAACAGAAAGTTGCTTGAAGGAGACCATTTTGAATAAAGATTATAATCGACGAGATGGGGAAATTTATTGACCAGCAATAATGTTATGAAAAGGGTAAAAGAGAAGCGAAAGAGACCAGCTCTAGATGGATATTGGTGTTTTGGCGGGTTTTTGATCGAGTGATGTCGAGCAAAGATCTCACTTTTGGAGCAGGAGAGCCGCCCTAATATACTCCATAGCATTTGACATTAAGGTTACCATAAGGCTATGTGTGTGCTATTCATAAGCACTTAGTCTTGGCACATCTTCTCCAAACCCATGCTCGGACGGTGGCCTGGCAGGTGGCATTGTGGAGGCCAGCCGGTCTGCAGAAACTGGGCTGACAACCTGAGTTGCCGTAGGAAGGCACTTCGGTGCGCACATTACACGTCAAAGGCAGTCTCCGAGATGTTTCGAGCCTGACAGAGCACGCACCTCCTGCCTGTAGCGATCTAGTGGCGAATACCCCTGCCGCTCTCGTCCGGGATAATGCCAAAGGGTGGCCATGCCATAATTACGATTCTCGCGACAAGATGCCCTGCGACAGATCTACCGACTAACTTGATGAGTGCAATCCCTCGCTCAGCCCTATTTGGCCATCGCTAGAAAACCAGCTTCTGTCCTGATCACCGGCGGCAGTTGTCCAAAGAACCTACCCAATCTAAACCAAAGGCGCGATCAAGATTGCCATGCCGTGTTAATGCGCGCTGCAGTCAGCCAGAGACCAACCAACAGTGGCAAGCTGCCATGCTAAAGAAGGGTACTTTGGGAACCAACTGCATATTCAACACTCACCAATGTACCGTAAATAGCCCAAAAGTGGGGAGAATCAAGGCGACGGCGACGCCAACTCCGTGTGTGGTTGTTTTTTCAAATGTACAAATGCGCCTTCCCTTCCGCTGAAATTAGGCTCAAGGCTCTTCCTGTTGGTTGGTTGTAGTTTAATCAATCTTAAACACTCTCCTGCATGGCGCCACACCTAATCCCAGCCCCGACTTGACGTGGACGGCGAGGAATTATTTTTAACCCGCTTCAGCTGGGCCTTGGCTAGCCCTGAAGATGCATATTGATCAGCATGACGGCTTCATCTTAGCTTGGCGGTGCTTGCCTTCTTTGCTCAAATCGGACTCATCCTGCGCTCCCACCAAGCGGCACATACCGGCGACTTCCACAATGAGATCAATGGCTGTCTCCAAGGATCACCTCAGCGCTTCTGTTTTATTCTAGCAGGCACCCATAGGAATGTTTTGCAGCCATCAATTGATGCCATCGCTCCACCTGAAGGCCAAAGATCTACTTGGCTCTTGGCGATAATAAGCTCACATCACGCTAATCCAGTGCTTAATATCAGAGCAACACGATGGGAATCGCTGGTCAATGATCAATTATACCCGGTGCAGTACATTAGTACAGATATATTTTATAGATTAATGTAATTTTGAATGTCTTAGTGGAGGAGCATGGTTAATATCTTGACCTCTCCAACTCGCAAGCTTCAGGAGCCTTATCTGGTGGCAATTTCTTCCGAACCTGATGGCCTGCGAAGGTCGCTATGAATCCGCCCCGGTTGAGACCGCAAGTGAAATATAACCCCTAAATTGCACCTTTAGTAAAACCTAGAAAATTGATTAAATCTGATGATGATGACCAACCCTGACCCACAAACTTACGAGAGAATGGAGGCTGGCGGTGAGTAAGTGAGGCCTTGCCGACATCCCCTGAACCGGGCCTTCAATCGCGTACTGTTTAATTAGACAGAAATCACGCACCGTCGGGTCATTTATACCTGGCCAAAGCCGGACAACGATGCTCTCAGATGCAATCTCTACATCTCGCTTCAAATACCCGTTTTCTCGAAGTAACCCGAAAAGATATCTTCAAGGCCAACTACCTAGGATACTGGAATCATGGCAGGGGCTAAGGCAGGTCTCAAGATTTTGCTTATGCCTTCCATATATCTTCCAAGGTGTATTTGATGCAGCTGCTGTAAGCCACTTCGTTAAATTGCTGGCTACCAAGTTGATTAATGCATTACTCTGCCGTGCCTTGGACTTTTTCCCTCCCTATTGATCTAAGTTTCTCTCCCCTTAGATGGAGCAGCAAAATAGTAAGAACTCCAAACACCCCCAGCAGAATACCCAATAAGCTAGTACCCCAACCATATCCCATTGAAGAATATAGCTCTGGGGCGAAAATGGGGAATGCGAAGCCAAGAACATAAGCCCCGGCACGGCTCGCCGCATTTGCACTTGCTGACTGTGTGTTACTGAATTCATCGAGGAGGTAGGCCAGCAAGCCCTGCGAGAACATGAAGCTCCCGCATGTAAAGATTCCAGCCCCTATATCTACAACAACCCAATGCGTGACCCTCTCTGCTGCCCATGCGTAGCAAAATAAGCCTGCCACTCCAGGGATGATCCCGAAGATCATATATGGGACACGATACTCTGGTGTGGGTTCTGTATCTGGTCGTCTTGCTTTCATGCGGCGCCAAATAAGATCCATCAAGGGCCCTCCTGCTTGAGCGCATGCGAACGCTCCCATCGCAATGGCGATGTAGTGTAAACTAGCCGTAGTTGAAGATTGACGATAGGCCTGCTGGAAAAGTTGGGCAAATGTAGACAGAACAAGGGTGTAAACGCCAAAGGCAAGAGCCGTCCCGAAGGCGATGATCTGTATGGAAGGATGAAGGATCAGCAGCTTGAATGGGATACGCAACGCAGGGCCTATCCGGGAGGGAATCATGTCCCAAGTTTCATGAAGACTTCTCTTCCAGTTTTTGGGCGATTTAGAAGTTTCATCAAGCGCGGCCTCTAGTTTCCGCCGAAGAAGGACTGGGGCGTATGATTCATGGATCACGAAATATCCAATAATCAAGCCCGCCATATCAAAGATACTGAGTATCCAAAATAGCCATGGCCACCAGAGATGCTGGGCAGCAACTCCCCCGATAATGGGGCCAAGCGCAGGTCCGAGGTAAGGAAGCAGGCCAGCAATGGCCACAGCCTTGCCTCTATCTTTGGCCTGGTACATATCGGCAAGTACTGGTCCCGTAAGCTGCAGTCAACCAGGTCAGACTCTCAATTGTTTTTCATGCGTTGCTATGCTCAGGGAACCTACTGTTATGCCCACGCTTGCACCAGATCCAGACAGAAGTCTGCTTATAATCATCAATGCTGGTGAATGTCCAACCGGACACATTGCGTTCCAAAAGACGTAGAAGATATTCCCAGCCAGCCATACAGGTTTCCGACCGAACACCTCGGCCAGGGGAGCCACAACAAAAGGGGCGAACCCAAGGCCTAAAAAGAAAACAGAAAACGCGATTTGGCCGGTTGAAGGGCCGAGGCCTACGTCTTCGAGGATTTGATCGAGGGCCGGTACAATCATGCTAGCCGACATGGTTGTGACAAGTTGGCTCACGGAGCAGACGATTCCAACCGCGATTTTGCGAGATTCTGGCCAATTGTAAGGGTTGTTAGGGTCTTCGGGCCCGTCCCATGTAACCTAAATGGTAAATGAAGTTAATGGGGCTGTGGCTAGGCCAGACGATCCGCGAATATCGATACGGAAGGTCAATTTTGCTTTGGCCATTGTCTCACATTTTCCAGAGCTTCGGAATTGCTACCGGCTTCGATGTCGCTGGTTGGGGCTGCCTTGGAGGACATTTTCGGTAACGCCATGTCAAATTTGAGGTTTCTCAAATCACCCGAGACGAGTCCCAGGGAAAAGAGATCTTAATATAATCAGATTTTTAGAATGCGGGTGCTGGAAGGTTAACACTTAGAATGTGCGAGCGCCGAGATGTACTTCCGAGAGCCAGTGCTTCTCCCATTACCTCCGAGCAAATCCTCATCCGCATATCCCTGTACTTCAATTAAGGATGATCAAGAATGGAAGTCCGGATATTTTTACCTGCATTTCGTAGACTAGACCCTACTTATCAACTGATATGAGCCCTAAGATGGAATAGTATGGACAATAATGTGAACAACAGCATTCATCTTCCTAGCAGCAGGCCGCATACAAGGATGACGGCTTCGGCTTCGGCTTCGGGCAGATCCCTGGTAATCACTCTGAAGATGAAATCTACACTCACTTGCAAACCCTCATCCACAAGATACCCTTGCTCTCAAAGGTGGAATTCCGAGGGTAAAATATCCCTGGTCTTATTTAAGCATTTATCTCTGTCACCAAAATTTACATCTCGCTGATGCCTGCCACTATCTCCATTTTGAGACGCTCTTGAAGGAATGATAGCGTACGGAAGCCATACCTTCATCAAACCCCCAGAGTTGAGGCTGTTAAAACCCATATTTCAATATCTGAAAGTTAGAATGCTATGTAGACCCCAATATTATCTGAATGCCGAAAAGCCTTTATCTGCAACCCGCTGTTTGTAGCCATTGCTCAATACCAACAAGTGCTCTGCGAGGAAGGTTCTTGTAACGCTTTTCGTTAAGTGTCTCCTCAATAGATCTGCGTAGCCTCTTTGCCCTGTTAACGGCAATGATACCCGCCCCTGCTGGCTTGGTCCTCTCAATGAAAAGGTCTGCGTCATTCTCCAACATGAGCCGCTTCTTGCGTAAAGCTGGACTATCCTGGGCCTCGACAATACACAATCTGCAACTGCAATGGAACCCCCAGGTCAGATACAGCGCTTTCATTCTCGCGTCATAATCACTCGTCTTGTCGTAGCTGTGCATGATCTCCTCGCCAGCCAAGATCTTGCGGGTTGCGCGGATAACCATCAAGTCGCCCACCAACTCCTTCTTTGCATTCCCTATACACGAGTGATTTATGTACGAAGCCCTGATCCAAAGCCCCGTACTGGCGTTCCGATAATCTTCATCCTCCGACTGCTGCCCGAGACCAAATGCGTTACGTTGGACAATATCGTGGATCTGGAAGGTGTCGACCACCGGAATCCCATCTCTTTCACAGGGTCTCTTTCCAAGGCCCTCGTTGTCTCCAAAGAGGTCTAAAACCTTCTCTATTTGAGATGGATTCTTCATGACCTTTTGTACCACTGCTTGATGCAAACCTGCGGGGAAGACTCGAATAGCCGCATTGTCTCGCACGTCGCATGTCAAGGCGGAGAAGGCCTCATTCTCATTGCCCCAGACAACGCAAAATGCTTTTTCACACATGATAATATCATTATGTTCAATGTCTTCTGCTGCGAATAGGCCTTTTCCAGATACAGGACTACTTTTAACCTTCGTGCGTCTAACGAAGTCCGCAGCGTCTGGCCGTCCTTTGGTTTTCGAGAGACTCCGCAAGGCTTTGTCCATGTCATATACCCCATCGCTCATCTCGTGCTCCCGTACTTCAATTTTTTCAAGATAGGTACTGGCAAGTCGACTACCGGGAAGAAGCTTTAACTGTTCGGCAAAGTAGCCTTTGGCGTCCCTGAAATTGCTCAGACGGTACGCAGCAGTACCGGCGCGGAAGTATGCCTTCGCGTCAAGGTCCTTCTGATACCCATCCTCATCATGAGTGAGTGACTCCAAAGCATCGGCTATTGCTTCATCATAGCGTTCAAGTATGAGATTTACGTGCGAGCGGTTACGATATAGATCGTGTTACAGGGATGAGTTCGAGTCATCACTCTGTATCGTCAACACGCGCAGGCCCTCGGCGTAATGCGCAAGCGCCATTGCGTATTTTTTGTCGTGGAGAGCAGTGTTCCCCAACTCTTTGTACTCCACAGGAGTATAATCCCTTTGCAACCCCTCGCTCCGGTCTCTGCGCCTCCATGACTCGGGGTCATCATTGTAGGTTGATATGATCAGGTCCGAAGGATGGTCGATACGAATCGTGCGTTGGCCATGGTTGTTGAGGGTATAGTACGGCTCTTTGACTAGGAATTCAAACCCTAGGTTCAAAGTATTGTGGCCATTTTGAGACGTGTGTAGGAAAACCTCCAAGCGCTCCACCTCGTTTTGGAGGTCTCCTTGGAAAACCGCCCAGGAGGAACTTTTCATCTCGACCACAGGAGAAACCCTACGGAGAGAAAGCACACGCCCTCGGTGATGTGTTTCCATGCAGAGATCACTCAGTTTCATGGGAACTAGGTCCTGCAGCTTGGAGGTGCTTGGCAAGTACGGGACACCAATGCCGTATGCGATAATAGTGTCCTGGCTCTTCTTGGGTGCTCCTCCCAATCCAAAAGCAGCACAGGAGAGGTCCTGTAAAAGAGATGCCGACGTTGCTTCCTGGATTAAAGATATGGAATCATAAGCTGTCCATTTCTGGCCTCTTTGATCTCGCCGCTTCTGCATGAGATCCCGGACAGTCGTTTGAACACGGCCGGATTCTTCCGGTGTCAAGAAAATCGTAGTGTTTGCAGCCATTGGTTTCTGTTTTGGAAAAAAAAACTCTTTTTCTGAAAATGAATTCACCAACACGAAATGGATATTTGTGTTGATTTCTTTTAGGCGTGGTCCAGAGGCACTTTTTCGAGCCTGAGGGTCAGAGATTATCGTAGTTTTGGTTGGATCTAGCTCAGACAATGATAATGTAGAGCCAATAGCAGTCTTATATTCGTATTTGTCCCAGGCTGCATCACTACGATAAACCCCGTGCCCCTTCTATCCATCGGACTTGTTTTTAGCTTTTACTCAAAGAGGAGAAGGGAATTACAGTAAAGCTTATGTCCGGCTAGTAAGCAAACTGTCGCTTGCATGTAGATAGGCCATTGATGTAACGATGGCCGTAGTACAGAAATCAAGCGTTCTTCAACTTGGTGATCCACCTCGGCTTAAGTCCGATATGAATATCGCGGGCATTTGGTCATCTTCCAGGGGTGAGCATTGGTTTGCTTGCTATTGATTACTTTCTCAACTTCATTTGGGATTCAACTCCTGACCCATTGCTCCAGCAAGTAGGTGGTTGGTCAGACAGCGATGCAGTCTTCGGGGAATGACTCAACGGCTAGATCGGCTAGAACGGCAATATTATAATGCACAGATTTCTTCTACTGCTACTAGAATCTCTGAATATCCATGGGACTAAGGTGAATATAAGAAATTAGTCTGGGTTCGTGATTGGACCAAACGTTCACGGCCGGCGAGACGTTTTGGGCAATGCTGTCATCAATTATTCCCGTACGCGGACACAGAATACTACCCAAACCTCTTTTAATCTTCACAGCCGCAAGCCTGAATCTTTGGCAAAGTCGTGCTCAAGAATTTCCATCTGAAGTGACATGAAGCTCTGATCTCTCCTGTTATGTATGGTATATTTCCCTCTTAATGGGACCCTAGTGGTGGTCAAGGTGCCTCTAACAATATATCGATTCTCTTGAGTACAATTATGACGAAAAGCAATCCTTTATGCAGATTGCTCATATCGCGCGTATACTTCAGACTGGGGTTTTTTATTCGAGGGAGAAGACACTCTTCCGATTCGCATAAAATCTCAGAGCAAAATTTGCCGATGGAAATCAGGGCTTTGTTAAGAAATGGAGCAACCGGGGTGTGGCCATAGACACCAACGGAAGACGAACTTCAAGCTAAAATGACTTCAAGCTAATATGTGAGAAAAAAAATAAGATTAAATCAAAGTGTTCTTCAGTGGGTTAAGTTGCCGCCCTAACTATCCCTATAATGTCTGAGGAGGCTTCCGCTAATAAATTCCACATCTATAGCATTGTAACTTTAATATCCTTCGCCGCGCAAAAGGCTTTGATCTTCTCAGCGTGCTCACTCCAGCCTTCGATATCATCGCCCCAGACATCTTGCCGCTCGATGACAACTTTGATTGTATTCAAATCCGGCAACTCATTTCGTCGGTCACCGAGGTCAACAAACAGACACTCCATCACGACGTAATCCTCTTGGGTAGCTGGGACATGCAACACGAATGTCCTCAGGTTACGAGGGGCAATATCTATCAACGAAGGGGTCTCAATGTCATCTTCGTCTGTTGGCTCGGCATCGAAGTTGTCGACGACAGCCCTGCTATGGATAAAGAGCTTAGTGTCCAGTTTTAGGTAAGTAAGTACCTCAAAGGGTTGTAAACCCTTTAGATCTCCTTCCGGGTAGAATATACGCCCGTGGTCAGGGCCAAGATTGTTCGCTGTGAGGCTAAGACTTTTAAGGGTCTTGCCTAGGCTCATCAGGCCGGAGAGAAACGTCTAAGTGCGTATCCATAAGTAAGTGCCCGGTCTCGAATCTGGCTCAGCAAGCCAACTCGGGCCAAATCTCGCTTCAATACTATAGTGGGAATACATACCTCAGGCTCCCAGTCATAACTAACAACACGAAGAATTAGCATATATAGAAATGTTGAAGAGCAAGGATTCCATACCCAATTTCATCCTTCATGTTGTATTCCACGTCAAGCACTTTCAAGTTATGCATGTCCCTGAATAATGGCTCGCATGCTTCGCCACTGATCACGACATCTTCGAAAACTGCAGTTTCTAAGTTCCTGCCGAGCACTTGGTATCTGCCTCGGGCCTGGAAATCAAGTATCGCCACAGACAATCCGCCATTGTTCTTCTTCTTTGGTTTATGCTCAACCAGATCGCATACCCCTGAATCGTGGTGAACCTCACGCAAAGAACTAGAAAAGGCAAAAATTGCGTGTTAATCAATGATACGTCGATGTCACAGCCGCTATTGCTTCAATGAGGAGGGAGAGCCTAATCGACACTCGCATGACTTACTCAAGCGCTAAAAACGGTGCGATTGAACTGATATTCGTACCGAACTGGGTGTCAACATTCTTGGTGGGGTGCAGGCTGTGGAGTTTACGCAAAGGCTGGTCTCCCATAACGTTCTCGGTGTCGTTTGCACGAGTGACCAGTAGATTTATAAGGTCTTGAACGCCCTTTTGAATGTCGTCAACAGGCTCCCAGTCGTCCGGTTGAGTGAATACTGAGGCAGGCCGCCATTCTCCTGGAAGCGTCAGGGACTCAAGATTGGGAAGCAGGCTGAGCAGAAACGCAAGCTACCACGTCCAAATCAATCGTAAGGGGGGGGGAGCAAACTTCTAGATTTAGGGTAGCAACGAACCGGGTAATCCACTTGTTCATCATACTGGTCCCTATCAGCAACAATATTGTCGAACCAGACACCGGTGTCCAAACCCAGCATCGCCAGGTGGAGCGAACCTTGGACAAGGGCCTTCAAGTTGTCCTGTTCTTTCTCCAGGCGCTGCAGAACGGCACCCCGGTAATTTTCAGAACTTTGCCGGATCCCATCAGTACAGACCCGGTCGCTGAAGTCACCATGAACGATATGGTGAGCGATGAATGGGTCCGCTGCAATATCCAATAAGAGCTGTGTCACTGTCTCAGTGATGTCCTCCTTCTCCCGGTGATGGTACGAGTCGGTGAAGTGAAAGCGCCGGTACTTTCGTCGCAGAGCATTATGTCGAGATAGAACTGGGAGGGCGACCGCATGAAGTTGCTTGCACGTGAGGATGAGGGACTCAAAATCACAAGGAAGTGCACGTTGCATGATCATGACCTGCAGCTCACGTGGCAGATTGACAAGAGTGGCGGGGGAAGACATAGCAAGCTGAGACATTCTGGGCAGATGTGAGTACTAGCGAAGGATGCAAAAAAGGCACAGTGAATGGACGACTAGCGACGTGAGATGTTATTTTATGTCCGTGAATCCATTCCTCATACCGGGGTTGGATTTTGTCGGTGTGAAACCTGTCTGTCACCTGAAGGATTTTAATGAGCTTGGCATCAACTGTTAGTTACCTCCCAATCTAAAAGTGGGCTTTCGCTCACTGATCGATAATATGGAAGTTTCGGCCGCTAGATCAATCATGGATGCCCGCTTATTAATGTACGCTCCAGCGGGGTTGCGAGTGGACGTAACCACCTAATGCGCTACCCTAAGCCCAATGAATTTCCTCTAGATACGGTACTCCTTGATAACTCACCTAATTATGGTAGATAAATGATAGTAAATATAAATAGTAATTTACTTAAAATATAATCTGTAATTTTATTGATGTTTAACAAATATGAGGATGAGCGGCTTAACTGGCTGAAGGAGGAATTTATCTAAAAGTCTAAGCTTTATCAAGATCGTAGAGAAAGATCGTAGTCAACCACGCACAAATAAGCCATACCAAGGCGTGTGCTTCCTTCCTTCGTCCGTTCTGTAAAACTTTTCATCTACCGAGATTTATATACAGTGCGTGCGTATAACTTGAAGTTATTCTGCGATGAATCATTCTATCCGTCTCTATATCCCTCTCACAAAACCAGGTCGGATCTGAGCGTAAGATTTCAATGTTTGTAACCACCACAAATCAATCCAACCTTGCTTGTTGCCCAGCCACTGACAATAGGCCAAAGACGGTGTAGTGTTTTTTCTTGAATTTTCTAGTCACGAATACGAGAATAGATCTGAAATTGGCGCACTTATGATTGACTCTTAGCCCTTTAGCTAGTCTAGTTGCTGGATTTTGGCCAACTTGGCCTTCTGCGTCTGATGTAATAAGGGGTTTCTTGTCCACAATCCACCTTGGGCATACGTTAAACCAACAGCACCATATGCGATTCCGAAGCAAATCACAAATGTCCAAGAACCAAATATTAGTTGAGCGAAGGTTAGAAGAGCAGGCAAGAAAGCCAAGTCACCCTGAGTGGCGGTGACGCTGTAAAAGGTTCTAAGAACAGTGAGGCCGCCGTGGCGGACAACCGCGATCGAGTTCAGAGCTGTTAAAAGAGCCCAAATCTGTGTATGCCAATCTTAATACCTCGGATACTCAAAGAGAAAGCTGTGTATGATGTCCGGGGCTTCACGTACGCGTGTATGGGGCACCTCTCTGGACTGGGATGCCGTGTAGATGAGGGTCCCGATAGAGAAAATGCAAAGAGTAGCATGAAGGCATAGTGCGGTAACTTGCATCGGCAGGAATGCAGCTTTAATGCCGGTGTAATATAGCTCTGTGCAAACTACGTCGCCCACCTTGATAACCAGGGCGACTAGAAATGCGGCGACACCGGCAATGTGCGGTGCACGTGAGGCCTCCTCAAAAAACCCGCTGACCTGTTGTTCGCGCAATAAAACAGAGACGCGATGCAGCCCTATAGAGAACTCGAGCTGGGCAACAAGAAGAGTGGCGTAGGCACCATGCATGAGGACATCGGTGAGGATCGAAAACTGCTGGATACCGAGGTCGTAGGCTAATGTATCGCCGTGTGTTGGACGCGCCCGCCTGATCAGATATTCAGCCACCGGGCTCACAATAGCAAGAATCAGCCACCTGAAGAGAACAAACATGGTCAGCAGAGAGGCACAGCGGGGGAGAGGTCTTTGTGTAGGCCCTACAGCGAGCCAAGACCGCCAGCGGCCTTAAGCCAAGGAACACCAATGCGAGCATCGTCTCCTAGCTGATGGGCTTTAAAAAAGGCGATAATAGCGAGAATGACGGTCGCGATTGCGGCCGCAATGGTGAAGCCTAGAATGGCTGCTGCGCCGCCCGCGGCAACATACGCCTCGGCGCTAAGCGTGCCATATTGCATTGTGCGAGTGTGAATGAATTAATTAGATTTGACCCCTGTCCTTGAATGGAATTAGCTGACCTTTCTTCTGGCGTTGCGGCCAGAGAAAAGAAGCCATGAATGAACATGAACCGTGAGTTGTCAGCCGCCGGCTGAAGCAATGAGCGAGAAGAACCATCAAGTACTCATTTCCTAGCAGGTTCATCCTCAAGCCCATCAAGGCTGTGCATGATCCACACTGGAATAGATGTAACATAACAGGTGCAGAGGAAACCTTGAATGGGGGTGGAGATAAAAATAGAGCAGACTAGGAATCTGTAACAAAGACAGTGAGTGGTCAATACATCACTTGCCTTTCCAGGCAATCTCTCGACCCATCCACTGCCGCATTTTGAACCTCAGTTGAAACGTTAAGTGAGCCAAATCGAGCGATCCCGGCACAAGAAACTCACTTTCTCCTCGACATCATCTCCAAGAGTTAAAGCTTAGTAGCATTTTTGTAATGCGCGTCTTCTCATAGGATTGGAGTTGTGCATAAGGCGACCATGATTTTCAAATGGAAAGGAAGAAGCTACGATCGCAGTAGCTTCATTGAGAGAGTACCTCTCATAAGTAAGACCATAAGAGGGGGTTCTTAGCGCTGTAACGTGGAGAACGGCAGTGGGCTCTTTGACACAACTTCCAGGCATTATTTGGGCTTATGTCACGAAAGGGGTCCAAGCACTGTAATCCGATCTACAAGAAGCTTGCCGGCTCAGCCCAGGACCCCAGAGAGAGTTCTGCCGGATTCAGCACGGGGTGAGGCAACTTCCGTTTCATGATGTGCGGACGCATACGCTTTCACCAAGACCGCGAAGTCTAATTTGCTCCAAGAGGGGCGAGGTAAACTGGTCCTTGTGCACTGCAGCTGGGGCTGAGGCGAACCAAGATCGAAACAAAGGATGCTACAAGCTCAGCCAATTCATTTGCTAACCGCGGCATGTCTCTTCGAGGCTTGGTAAGTGGACACTCCACCGAATCCTTTGACCCATTCAGAATGCTAGGTTGTTGTTATTGAATTAACCTAACCGACTACGGATTTTTGGCCTGGACCCTGGTCCTGAACAACGACGTCTTGATTTCAGTATGCGTAGGGTTCATGATCACATGCAGGCTTTGGCCCACCGTCATCCCGAGACTAGGTGGTTGACTCGGAAGCTTGGACTTAGGCGGAAATAGTTCTTAGACAACAGTCATTGATCCCAAGACCTGATGTCGTGGAACTCCTGGACCCCATGAACCCTCATCTCTAGCTGTGCTATTACTGTGACAAGCTTAACGAGATCACACGCCTTGCTAGTACCGCGAAATGCGGAAAACGTACAGGGAGTTGTTTATCGATGCCTCAGATAGGCCTACTTTCCATTATGTTTGCTGAGATGTTGATGGTGAGATTATAGACGAGGTGCCCTCTGGCTCATCTTTCAGGTAGGCTCTCCTACTCTTGGCTTCTTTGGTCGACAGAATGATTCATTGAATACAACTTGTATTTGAGAATGCCAGTATTGAGAAAGGCAAATTAAATTGGGAGGGAGGACATTTGAAAAGAAACATTCTGGCTAATTGAATCTACTAGAGTCAGCCACAAATAAAGTTGGAGTGAAAACTATCCTTAACTATCCTTCAGGACTATTTGCTACTAGAGACGTTATCACGGTTGGTTCGTATATGAAAGATCCCGATATCAACTGAATTTGGCCTTCTTGGTAGCGATTCTTTTGCTCCGGCGCCGATACTCAGTTGCTCTTCGGCAAGCGATACATTGCCCGTCCTCATCAAAATAATGCTCGTCCAGGTCCTGCTCGCAAAACTCGTGCTCCTCTTCATTGTAGCATGCATCGCAGGAGGAACCTCTGTAGGTACAATCCCTGAGACGAGTAGTACAAGATGACCAAACATGAGCCAACCTGGCGTCTGTTCCAGGAGTTTCCCATCCGTACATCATCTTTGCGATCTCCTCGGGGTCTGTGATACTTAGATCCACGAGACGGTGAGGCTCGTCTCGGACGCAGAGGAGCCGTCTGTCGATTGGCGTTCGTTTTTCATTCCCGGACCAGTCTACAAAGACCCAGCCCTCTTTATCTTTCTCCAAGCAGCTATCGGCGTCCACCCCTTCGCACCAGCTTTCGGTCAGCATTTGGGGGGTTACATCAAGATCGAAACGCACTTGAAGCAAGCCTCTTTCGACCACATCATCCCAGCATAGTCGATCTTCTTCAACGACAATAATCCAGCTTCGATATCTGTCGTCCTTGTAGTCACCCTCTCTCCAAAACGCGTCTGATGGGCACCAAGATGGAATAATATGCGGTAGGGGCTCTCTGCCCCGAATCTCGTTGAGCAACTTTTCATTTGCAGCCTCCTCCAAGAGCCCCGCGACTGCATCTCGCCTCATGTTCTCAATAACTGCCTTTCGGAATTTCTTTTCTTTTCTATGGTGTTCTATGCATTCCTCGACGGTTTTAAAACCTGCATACGTGTCAACACGGGGCCAATAATTTGAGGCATTCCCCCAACCCCCAATGCCGTCGCAATGGATAAATTTCTCAGCAAAGGTCTCAATGTCAGAATCTGTACGTTCTCCTAGGAGATAGAGTTGGATTCCAAGCTTTTGAACTAATTTTCCAGACGTCGAGAAGGCGCAGAGGACCGTATACGCCCGACCAGCATGATCGTGAAACTGTCGTGGAGAATTATTCCTTGCCTTCGATGAGAGTTGCTTTCTAGGGGCTCTGCCCCCCGTGGATTTTCTAGCAGTTTGTTTTGTTCGTACCATACTGGACTTTGGGAAGGACTGTTTATGGGTAAAATCAAGAGTGATGGTGTTGATCTGGACGATGTGATGGTGGACGTTCTTTTTCTTCACGCAATAACCCCTGTGCGTGAAAAACACGGAGCATCCCTTGATTGCTGACAGCGCACTCGACGCGGGACGGACGAGGGTTGCAGTTTTCGCCCGGATTATCCGACCACTTGCCTTTTGGAGCTGGATCACATTTGTTGTAATCAACTAACCGGGAATAATCGACGAGGTTGGTCCCCCATTCTCTTAGCGTGAGAATCAACCAATGGGTACCTCTGCACTTTGGCATCGCCTCGCCCATGGGTTTCCTTTGTCCCACTACTACTTTGGTCACGACTAATAACAGTGAAGGGCAAGAACTGGGAGAAGTCTTATTTTATCCTCACTAGTCCAAGAGGAACAAATAATGAACACTTTCAAGTTTTAACATGAAAGAATGGCCATTGGATTTCGGACAATCAGAAGAAGAACCTGCATGTACTACTTCTAGTCATTACTTCGAGGGAAAAATTGGTACCTTTCTTAAGAACTTGCCTTTATCATGAGAGGCTAAAATGCTGCTTCTGTAGTTAGAGATGCTGACCGTAATGAACTCTTTACCCGTTCTGACAGGATTTCCTTATTGAAACTAAGTTGCGACCTCTTATGAAGCGGCTCATACGAGAAATACCTGACGAAAGGCCCGAACTCTCAAAGCCTCAGGCAACATAAGCATGGGAATCACACTTGGAGTTGGCCGGAAATTGAGATTCAGGAACTTGTCAGATCCTCCATGTAGTTATAGTATTCCTTAACAAGGTTAAGTTAAATGTGCTCTCTTCTTATAATTACACGAAGATGCCGCATTTGAATGGGTTCTGTTGAGTGAGAGAGTGTTTGCAAACCAATAAGGAAGCTATTCCATTCATGTCTATAATGCAGGGATTGACAAAAGGCGGGAAAGAAATATCTTGGCGTCGTATTTGTCGTGAAGCGGAATCTCACCCACCCATTTCCGTACTACGTCACAAGGTTGACATGCTTATTATTAATATTTCCATCCCCGCCTTCTTACTTTGCAGATGAGAGCTAATTATTTGTAACCTGCAATCCAGCCAAGATGGAGGTAGAACTACCCCCGCCATCGTATTCGCTCAGCGCGCAAAAGAAACGGTACAGGTTCACTCACCGTGGCACCGGCCCTAGCTTTGACTTCACTCCCGAATCCCCTGAACTTGTCGGTTACACATTCGACGTTGGCTCGCATAACCATGGTACGAAACGCACATCGTATTTATACCAAGATCCTCGACACATTCTAGCCTCCGCGACTCGAAGAGGGAATTCTTGCAACTACAAAATTTACCTAGGCAATGCGATCGATGACTTTGATGACGAGATGGCCTGGGATGAGATGCGTACCGATTGTCCAAATACGATATGGTCGATGACTTCCGCCTACGACGGCCAGACAAAGGCGTACTTCGTGTGGAAAAGGACAACAACTGTTGCTGTTGACGGAATAAGCAAGCCTTCACGACTATCCCGCCGCAATTGGATATTGGTGGACCACAACGACCAGCGCGAGGTCCTTGCCGTCTACACGGAGAACCTGGGTTTCTCAACCTCAGGGACGTTGCAGATCAACGTCAACTGGGGGGACGATTTTGAATGCTTTTTATTGCTATCACTTGGATGTATGTACCCTAAATCAGGTATGCCAACATCTAATGCCATCTCAAAAGGTGGCGCGTACACGGCGCAGGGGTGATGGTTTGTTGTCATTGCTGTTTGGGACGAACAATCAACCATGTACAGGAAGAAACCATTGCCTACTTAAGGTAGTTATTTCTAAAGCCACGAATCAAACTCGTTTTCGAAAGACATGCTATACTGGAAAGCTACTACAAGTCAAGCTAAGAGTGGTGAGAAATCCGGCAAGCCGCAGAAAGGAAAAAAGAGCATATATTGGGACAAAAATAGTAAAGTAATAGAGGCTATTTGGGGAGATCAACATAACGCAACCTGAGCCTCGATCTGGGTTTTGTTGTCCTCATTTCTGTACTCTCGCGTGAATGAAAACCAAACCAACCAAAAAAAAAAAAAAAAAAAAAAAAAAAAAGAACCCCGAGCTCCTGAAAGGTCCTTCCAACAATTCCAATCCCAGCCATGTTAGACTCCTTTTGGGTTCTTTCATCGTCTGAATCTTTGAATGTCCTTGCGTTTCTCTTGGTTGTTTGCGCATTGTAAGGCAGGACAACCCAGGCACGAACGTGCCTGATGAAGTATCCTTAACGCGAGTTTGATACGCAACCGCAAGTGTCTTATCAGTGTTAACTATCGTCTCGTATTTGGGAGTAGGTGCATGACAAAGCCTCCCTGTGTAGAGCCAACTGAGTTGATCAGCAGCATCGAAGATGATGATTTTTTCGACCTAAATTTATTACACATACAGTCGAAGCTGAATTGGGAAGTTCTCAATGGCGGCTGCTTCGAATAATTCGTCTGTTTGGCCAACTTTGGCCTTATTTCTCCCACTGCCCACTGTCAAAGAGTTTATTTGTTGGCGGTGTCTTCATGAAGTGGTACCCAAATTTCAGGCGACCGAAGTCAAACTGCTAGACCTCTGATCTTTGAAGCCGCCGTCCTACTTCAGTTAAGTATGTGTGATCGTCCACGAGGATCCCAAACGAAGAAGGCCACTGAAGTTGAACGAAGTCAGGCGCCACGTCCTCAGCTGTGAACCTGATCCTATTCCTCATACACCATATTGCCCCCACCATCAAATTATCAGAAGAAGTGTTCGACCAAAGAAGGGCGAGTAGCTTCTCCTTTGCCGTTCTCGTGTCGCTTGAAACGTCTGGTGCACTTGAGCCCAAGCAATCGCCATCCTGTATTATAATAAATTCCAGACAGTCTATTGCATCACTCATGTCTCCGATCGTCCTCTGTTGCGTTGGGATGGTATCCAGCATTTCATGGATGAGCTTGCTCGCATTTGAGCGAATAGTGGAAACAGCAATATCTGATGATCCGATGACAGCCATCAAAGCTCTCATGCGACCTATGAGACAAGCTTGTCGTACGTAAATATAGGTCTGAGCTGATGGTTCGTTCCGCAAAGGCTGAAGCTCCAACATCAGTTCAATAAGAGTTAAGACTCTCGCGTCTTTTGTCACCTCGTTGAGAGCAAAACCCAGAATGGTATTTGGGTCTTCGTGTGGTCTCAAGTGAGGTGAATAATACATGGCAAGGTCACGGTAGATACGATCCCCGGCACCCAGAAGGACCCGGATATATTGTTTTCTCAGCTCCATGGGTTTGCCATGTTTGCCCAGAACTTCCATCAGCGGTGTTCGGAACTTGTACATATGGCGGCAGCTAGCTCCAGCGTCCAGAAGTTCCTTGATGAGAAGAGGGTCGACATTTTGAACAATGGCACGGTTGATGATGCCCCCCAGATAGCCGGGAATCCTTCTCGAGCCCGTTTGAAGGTTCAATAATTTCAAAATGAGGTCAAAAGGCGTCGGTATCTGCACTGAGAGGCGTGGCACAGGAAGATAGATCACGTCGTGCTTTTGCAGAACACCCTCGCATCCATCCATATCCAAGACGTATTCAATGAGCTTCGCCTCACTGCGTTTGGAAACGGACCGCCAAATCCCAATGACATCGTCCTCGCCTAAAATAGCGCAGGGACATCGCGCCCGAAGTGTCTCGAAGGCAGTGACATCTCCATCGGCCAGGAACTTCTCCAAGGGAGTAGTATGTTTTGAATTCCCAGTCGCAGTGCCACGGACAGGGCTCGCACCATGCTGGAGTAGCATCTCGGCGATTGGTTCCACCTCTGATCTGTCCTTGTTGTGGACATAGAGTGACCATAAAGGTGGTTCATGCATCATAGTATCATAATGTGCAGCAGCCCCGGAATCTAAAAGGAGATGTACAATGGCGAGAATGGATCTTTGGTGTGGATTTTCTATGGCCATCATAAGTGGCGGAGAATCTCCCCATTCGTCCCCATTTACGTTGGCGCCGGCGAGCAACAGGCGATTGACGGCAATGAGGTTTGCGGAATGGGCGGCGTGAGCGAGGGCAGTGGTGCCCAGGAAGCTTTGGTTGAATTCAAGGCGCGATTCGATGAGAAGATCCAATAAAGTCGAGCCGTGAATGTCTTGCAAGTGGGACTTGCATTCTTGGATCTTCCAAGCAAACCAGGGCCGTAAATCCCATGGAGACTCGCATAATAGATTGATTAAAGGGAGATTGTCAGAATCTCCGGTTGAATGAAGGTCAACGCCAAACCCGATCAAGCGACAGGCGTCGTCAAACCTACGGTCCTGAATGGATGAGTACAACATAGTCTGATGGACCAAATGTTCATCTTCATCTTGACCCCCATGATTGTGAGGCGCTGCGGAGGAGAGGTTGTCTGTAACAACAATATTGATGTCCGCGCCATGATTCAACATCACCTGGAACGAATCCCAGTGACGGTAGAGATATGCGTAAACAAGGGGGCTCTGGTATGCAGAGTCTAAAACGTCAATCCTGGATTGGTAGCCTCGTGCATGTATCAACCATTCTGCCGTAGATGCCTGCCCTGACATGCACGCGACATGTAGAGGAGTTAATCCCGTGGGAATAAGATCCGTCCCTCCCTGGAGTTGGTCCATATCTTCAGAGGCGCCCGCAGATAGAAGCAATTCTGCAACCCGGACTTGGCCAGAGCAGATGGCGAGATGCAGTGGCGTCCACATGGGGATTTGCAGCGAGCAAGTGTCTGCGGTTCTTGGCCCCAGTATTTGAGGTTGGACCTCGCAATCACATAAGCCTAGACAGCCGGTATCCAGGCGAGGATTTTCCCTCAAGAGGCGTTCTAAGATGGGAATGCTGCCATTCAAGGTGGCAACATGTATCACGGACCAGTGCCAGTCATGGTACTCACCAATCTCGGGCTCACCTCCATCCTCGCCCTCGTCTTCCTCTAGGGC